GAGACAGTCCCAAAAAAAACAAAAAATCCAAAGCACATAGCCCACGAAATGAGCAGATTCCTTGAGACAGTCCCAAAAAAAACAAAAGAACCAAAAATTCCGAAACCTATGCGACATAGGAAATGAGCATATTTCTCGAGACGGTCCCCCCCAAAAAAAGACCAAAACCCATAGGCCACGAAATGAGCATATTCTTCGAGACAGTCCCAAAAAAAAACAGAAATACCAAAGATTCAGAGCTATCCCAAAAGCCACGTCTCAAGACAGCTCAAATGGCTTGGAATCTTTAGTATTTTTGGTTATTTTGGGGCTCTCGAAGAATATGCTTGGTTCGTGGCCTAAGGGCTTTGGTATTTTTGTGTTTTTGGGGACTGTCTCCAAGAATATGCTCATTTAGAGGCCTATGGGTTTTGGTATTTTTGGTTTGTTTGGGACTGTCTCGACGAATATGCTTGGTTCGTGGCCTAGAGGCTTTGGTATTTTGTTTTTTTTTGGACTGTTTCGAAGAATATGCTCATTTGGAGACCTATGGGTTTTGGTATTTTTGGTTTGTTTGGGACTGTCTCGAGGAATATGCTTGGTTCGTGGCCTATGGGCTTTGGTATTTTATTCTTTTTGGGACTGTCTCGAAGAATACACGTGGTTTGTGGCCTATGGGCTTCGGTGTTTTTGGTCTTTTTGGGACTGTCTCGAAGAACATGCTCATTTAGATGCCTGTGGGTTTTGGTTGTGTTGTTTTTTTGGGACTGTTTCGAGGAATATGCTCATTTCGTGTCGTTGGACTGTTTCGACAAATACGTTGTTTTCCTTGTCTGCAAACATGTGTTGAAACCAATAACAGTAACACAAAGGTAGCCCAAAACATTGGAAAAACCAATAAAGGGACGCACAAGGAGTCCAAACCATTGGAAAACAAATAAACATCACACACCAGGAGTTAAAAAACAATGGAAATCCAATACAAACAACGCGTGCGGAATCCGAATCATTGTAATTTCAACACAGTGGTGCCTTCAGTTGATGACGGTTTCGATGTAATGTGCACATGCACAGACTTTGAGCTGGAAACACTCGTAACATAAACATATTTCTACATGCGGTTTCTAGTTGTGAGATTTGATGCTCAAGGGTTTAGTCAGTCATCAATATCCTGTGTGCCATGTCTCCTTTGGACGTATCAATATGGAAGAGCCTGTCGTGCGACGTGGCAGATTCCATCCTGAAGCTGGTTTTGGGACATGTGCCAGAAATCTGGGTGCTGTGCCTAGAGCTCCACACCCATCAGAAAAGCCTCCCGCATACGACATATGCGACAAATATTGTTTTAACAAAAATTATGAAGGCTAAGAAAGCTTCAGATTGGTATTCGTTTAACATTTCATGCTCACAGAAACCTTTAGCGTTATTCTTTATTATAAGCTGAGTTTTTCCTGGTATTAAGATATTGTCACAGTTCAACTGTATCCGAACACCAAAGTGTCGCAATAACTTATCTGTGATGCACATTTAGTCAGTCCTATGTAAAAAATTTCCCCGGGTGCTTTCGTATTTTGACTCTCGCGTATCATTTGCATATAGCACTTGTTCAAATGCCCTTTAACTACTACTTCATAATTATTGAGCATTTAACCTTTATTTTGGAGGAATACTCGTTTGGTATTTGAGTAGTGATGGCTGCATGTTCGCAGGTATGTCGGTCATTCAAATTCGAATATTGATAGATTTTTATCTTGTAATAGCTACGTCGTACTCAGGCGGTGCGTCACTTTTCTAAGTCTGTACAATAGCTGAAGCTCACCTAATATTATCTCGATGCCCCATTGATGTTCATTATGTGCTGAGTTTCTGTTTTTAGTATGTAAGTGCCAGGTTCAAGAAACTCTAGGTGCTCATTCTGTACTCAGCGAACATGTGATATTCACATACATCTTAAGCAAGATTTCACTGCTATATGCTTCATCCCCTTGAGATCTAACCCAACAGTTATTTCATGTTTCATGGTTCAAAATATGTCCCTAATATGTACACAGTGCCGTTTTCGTCCAGGTTCTTGAGTGAGCCCCTAGCAATAAAGGTACCATTGTTCCTGTTAATTATTCAGTGTTAATAAAAAACCATACAGTAAAACCGGCTTAAAGGTACTAGCCAGGAACATAGTCGTAATTTCCAGTTAGGCAGATGGCATTCCATGGTTTAGTCGCTATTGAGTACCTTTTGCGTATTCGCTTGTTATTTGTTGGTATCTCTTCTCAATGAGTGGTATAATAGTAATCACTACTGAAGAAAATGTAGCGCTAAACTGTTACGGACTAATACGGTGTGGCTGGTTTGCTAACTCTCTTGTACTACTGCACCGATTAGCTGTTCCAATATTGACTAATGTTTGAATGCTGCATACTGTGTGGGTTGAGCAGGAAGGCAGAACAACATGAAACACTTATATTGCAACTGTGCCTTCGCACTAGCAGAAGCAATAACAGATGTATCACCAATGCTGTTTGACCGCGAGAAAGTAGAGAATGGATCAGACATGGGTACTTTACGAACAGTACAAGGCAACATGCCAAACGGCTGTCGCCAGCGCATATGCGCATGATGGTCATGAAAAGATAAACACACCAAGTATCCTTCTACTGTGTTTCTAAATCAAATACTGAGCTTAACGCATCGATTCGGCTCTACGTCATACAGGGTCCTGGCTTGCACATGTCTTCCGAACAGTCCTACTTGTCATTCGTGCTTTCCGTCACAGTCCCAAAACCGCGAGTCCGTGCCCTCACGAACAGTTCCCAACGCCGAGAGATAGTGCTCTCACACACAATTCCCAAAGTAATGAAAGGATAAGCACACCAAATAGGTAGGTACGTCCGGGGGGGGTAGCATACATATATAGGTATAGGTACAGGTATCGGTACGGTAAAGCCATAGGTCCTACCAGAGGGCCTCTCGTTGGACACTGTTGCTTCCGAACAATGACAAGACACCAGCGACCCCTAAAAGAAAGACACAAGCGACCCCCCAAAAAAAACACAAGTGACCCCAAAAATAAAAAGAAGTGATTGGGCACTCAGGATTTAGGGCAATGCAACACACCAACACACCCCGGGGCGGACAGCGGGCCGGACGGACGGCGGCGGCACGGGGGGACCTGTGGCCGGGACCTGGACAGCTGCAGGGGGGGAGCTGCTGCCGGGACCTGTCGTGAACAGAAACAAAAGACCTGCACGAACCGGTCTCGGCCCGATCCGAAACTGGCCACGTCCCGATCCGAAACTGACCCTGGCCCGATCCGAAACTGACCCCGGCCCGATCCGAAACTCAGACCCGAAACTGGATACCGAAACTGACCTGGAAGACCCTGAAACTCGCAACTTCCCTTTGCGCAGGGTGAGCAAGGAGGCTTGACGGTTCAGCGCTCTTCATGTCTTTTGGGTTTAGGGCTCAAGGCATTCAGAAGACGACAACACCGACCACCATCCGTGCCTGAGCAGGCTTACATGTGAAGCCGTTGGAACTGCTTTCGGGGCCCGGGAAATTTCGTCACGGCGGCTCCTCACGGAAGTAGCTCGCATCTGCCGGGGCCGTCATGGCTCAACAGCAGCACGAAGAAGGTTTTGGGAAATGGAGTCGGACTTCGCGCTCAGGGGACAGAGTGTGGGGGCGCTTTCGGGCGTCTTGTGGGAATCCGAGACTTCTGCGACTCGTGTCAGGCAGGTCCGTGTGTCGCCGTGATTTGACTCACGGCTGGTACTGCATGAAAGCTTCAAAGTTCACAGGAGGGTGCAGAATTTGAAGCTTGGAGTCTTGAGCGGAACACGCCGACATGGTGAGAATCCCCAGCCTGTCACAGCCCCAGTATTGCGGACGTAGAACGTCATGCTAACTCACAACCTGCAAGCCAAGATCCTTTCCTCGCCTCGACTCGAGGCACCTCGTCCCTAAGCATACAGCGCATCTGCTCCCTGATCCGTGTCGACAAGATGGAAAACAGAAGTCTGTGGGGGCCACGGATGGTTACACCGTAAACGGAAAGGACACTGCAATCTACAGTTTGGTTGCAAGTAAGTCTGGGTCAAAAAGTGGTCATGTTACCACAACGACGGGAGTTTAGAGGTTCAGGGTTTGCTTCCGAGTAGTATGGAAAAAGCTGCAGACTCCCGAGCAAACGGCATGAGCAGCTTTTCCTGCCGGCGTTGCGCGTCTTCGTCCCATCCTGCGCAAGCCTGGAGGCGAGAGGCGTCACACAACCCTCGCACTTCCACAGTCCCACCGCCAAAGCCCGAAGCTGAGACAACTAGCTCTGGCTTCAGTGGATGTTCGAGCGCTGGTGGTGGGGAGGTACAGGTGGCAAGAAACGCTCTGTGAGAGGACTCCGCTCAGAACCGAAGGTTCGAAGTCTCCTAGAACCCTAAACCCTAAACCCTAAGCCCTAAGCCCTAAGAATCCTCTGATCCGCCCAGGCAAGGCTCAGAACCTGGTCTTCTGCACGAACGTAAACCCCTAAATCTGCTAAAGCAACCCCCTCTGCAGAACTGTGCCCTACATACTTGTTGCTTTCAAGGAAAGATACTTTGCGGGGGTGGGGGTGAAAGCTTGAGTGCGTATCGATGTTGCTTCTGCCTCACAACTACTGAGCCTCGACGCCACTCAAAGGCCATGAGACCCAGAAGATCCAAGAACAAAAACGCTGAGCCTCCTCGACTCCTGGTTCGAAACTCCCCCGCCCAGCAAAACCTTCAAACGTCTCCCTTTTTGCAGCCTGAGGACCTGACGGGTAACGGCCCACTCTCGGAGCGCTTCGTCGAGGCTTCCCCCGACTTCCGGCCTGCAACAGAGCATTGGGCAGACACCGCTTCCCATTTCAAGGAGCCCGCGGGATAGAAGTGGCAACTTTGGAAGAGACGATGCGGCTCTCAGGCCTGTGAGGGACCCAAGCTCAACGAACCAGGGAGGCACGCAGCCATCAGCTCTTTTTTGGCTCTTCAGCGCACGTTGCCGAATCAAATGTCGCATTCCACTCCCTCTTGCTTGCAGATCGCTGGGGGGGTTTGCAGCGGGTTGCCGCCCAGAACCAACTTCTTCAGCTCATTGAGCCCCTGGAAAGCATCAGACTCTAGGCTCTGCAGTAGGTTGCGGCGCAGAGTCAACGTTTTCAGCTCTTTGAGCCCCTGGAAAGCGTTGGGCTCCAGGCTCTGGAGTTGGTTGCTGGCCAGATCCAACGTCTTCAGCTCTTTGAGCCCCTGGAAAGCGCCCGGCTCCAGGCTCTGGAGTTGGTTGTCGTACAGATCCAACGTCTTCAGCTCTTTGAGCCCCTGGAACGCGCCGGGCTGGAGGCTCTGGAGTCGGTTGTAGGTCAGACGCAACAGCTTCAGCTCTCCGAGGCTTCCGAAGGCCTGCTCTCGAAGAGTCAAGAGCCGGAAGTCGCTGAGCACCAACACGGCCAGAGCGCTGAGGCGCTCGAAGGACCGCAGAGCCTTGGGCTCCGGGATTTTGCGGTCCGCCGGGCACAGAGCGCAGGAGATCGTAAGCTCTCGCAGCTTCGGCGCGAGCTGCGCCAGCGCGCCCAGCTGCCCGAGCTGGGCCGCATCCTCCAGGGACACCTGCAGCTTCGTCAGGTTACCGAAGGCCGCCTGCGCACACACGCGACTGATCGGCGCGCCTGTTTCTTGCTGCCGCACAGCGACCGTCGTCGGCCCTAAATCCCCGAACACTCCAAAATCACGGGGGAGTTGACAACATGATGGTCATTCATGGATGGATGATGGCATGCAGCTTCGGAATCGGCGAAATACAGAAAGCCAGCCTCGTACGATGGTACATGGCTATAGTTCAGGGAGCCGGCTAGTTCAGGAATCCTTCGATGCAGGAGGAAACCTTCTATATGCAAGGACGAGGGCCTTCGAAGACTTGACATCTTGGTGTATCCTTTCCGACTGTTTTGATTCGAGAGCCCAAAGTCAGTCGGCTGCATGCTGGACATGTGGGGTGAAGCGCACGCACGCTGTGCCTCAGAAGACATGCACTGTGTGCGACACCGTGCAATCCAAAAAGCAAGAAACAGAGAAAGAGAGAGAGAGAGAGAGAGAGAGCGAGGGAGGGAGGGAGGGAGGGAGGGAGGGAGAGGGAGAGAGAGAGAGAGAGAGAGAGAGAGCAGATGACAAAACGATGTAAGGAGCTGCGCCTGCACCTGCGGTGTCACGGGTTGCATCGTGCCCAAGGGGCTCTTCACCAGAGCTTCTGCCAGGCGCTGGGGCATTCTCTCGTCCAGGACTGCCAGTGTGGCGAGAAGGTCACCTGACGGCTCCGGCAGTCGCCAGACCTCCCGCACAGCGTCCTTGTCGAATCGCTCGGCTTCCTCTTGCGTCAGGTTCCTTCGGATCGCCTCCAGCAAGCTCAGCGCGGTGCCGTTGCTCGCTTGCTCCAGCAAGGTCTTTACGGAGAACGCAAGGCTGTAGCCGTCCATGCTTACCTGGCTCTGCTTGTAGTGCCATTGTGTTCGAATAGTCTCGCTGCAGCTTGCAGCAGCTTCTTCCATGCACACTAGCAGCTTCACGCTGCCAGCTGGCGACAGCAGGGGAGGTGGGTGGAAGTGTCGTCCAGTTGCGTAATCCCATGTTTCCCTGCCACCGAGGCTTTGCTCACGCACTTGCACGCACAGCTGCGCATGGCAAGTTGGGAGCAGCTCACATAGCGCATCAGAGGACGCAAGGACGGCGCCTTCGGCTATGGTGCTCACATTCAGGAGCGAACATCCGTGCAGCTGAGCTGCCCAGGCAGCGGGGCTGTCAATCGCCTCGTACTGCATGACCACGGTGTGCCATTGTGAGGACGAAAACCCCCACTCCCGCGCCTTCTGGCGGACCACCACTGTGAACTGGGAAGCGGCCTCCATCTGGCCCTGGATTGGGGTAATCTGCACCGAAAGGGGTTCATCTCCGAGGGCTGAGCTGTCGTTCGAGCCGTGGTAGGCACCACAGATGCTGTAGCGCCACCTAACCAACCCGCTCTCCAAGCAGCGCCCGTGCCCTTGCAGGAGCTGCAGGTCTGCCTTAGTGGCTGGAGACCACTCGGACCAGTTGGCGCGGAAGGCCTCAGCTGTCGCCCCTTTCTACTGGACGGCACCGCTCTCTCAGTCCCTCTCATTTTCCCTATCTCTGTCTCTCTCTCTCCCCCCTCCCTCCGTTAAATCCATGAATCCTAGAAGCCCTCTACTCCAAACCCTGCGCATACAAGCCGGAAGTAGCACGAGCCCAGGCGCGGGGTCCGGCAGCATCGGCATCACGAGCAAGCGAAGCGTGTCAAAGGCAAGCGGGTCGTACTTCGAGACGGAGATGACCACGTTTCCCTGCAAACCGGGTGTTTAGCAGGAAAGCTTAAACATCCCACAAAAAACCTCTGCCGCCGCCCTTCAACTTTCAGAGATCGTCAGGGAGCCCAACTCTCTGTTCGCGCCTGCACGTCCAGGGAGCTCTCGGTCTTCAGCACGAAGCTGCCGCTCCTGTTTTGACCGAGGAGCATGGCCATCGCGTCGCTTGGAGGTGGCGTCCCCTGCCTGAAGGAGATGGGCGTGGCCTCCGCCTCGAACTTCTGGCCTCCCGTCTCCAGCTCCAATGCGAAGCTAAGGGTGGCGAGGCGGAAGGCCCAGTCTGGCTGCACTCTGCCGAAGGGGAGCTGGAGTCGGCCTGGCTTCATCTCCACGTCGTCCCTGCACTGTGTCGTCTTGCCTCGCTTGGCCTCCTCTGCCTCTCCAGCGGCTCGCACCTCCTCCAGCCGACACCCGCTCAAGCGGCCCGTGAGATTCTGCTCTGCAGCTTTGATTAAGCTTGGACGATTCTCGGAGGGGTCACCTGATTCCAACCCTTTCCTGTCGGCAAGCACCGCGTAGCAGCCACCTGGTCCGACGTAGGACTCCAGGCACGCCAGGTCGTGGCCACAGTCCGCAGAGCAGCTCTGCTCCGTCGCGTTCGGGCGGTCCCGGTAAGTCGTCCAAAGCTGACCCAGAGCAGCGGGTCCGTGGCTGCGGGGCCTCGGCAGGCCCAGGAGGAAGTCGGCGAGCTGCACTTCGACGCGAAAGTCTTGGACACCTCAGGGAGATAAGCAAAAGCGCCCTGCCTTTTGAATACGCCCTAAGCTTCATACAAACATTATCATGTGATCGCACCTGCCTTCTGGGATGCTGACTGAAGACCGATCCGGGCAAGGAAGACCAGGCGATGGTTCTCTGGAACTCCTGGGCGGTGATCCGGAGGGCTGCCGGCATCGTCGCCGATGGCGAGAAGCGCACTTCATACGTGGTTTCGCGGCGAGAAGGACGGAGGCCCTGGACGCGGATGGTGGCCACGCGCGGGATTTGCCGGTGCGCCAGCTGGATCTCTTCGACTGCCATGCCGTGCTGGTCGTCAACCGCAATGACACGTGGGCTGGAGGGTGGCATGCTGGTGGCTTGCGGCTGGGTGATGGAGATGCGACGCGTGGTAGGGGGGCTAACACCAGCAACCAGGGCCAGTTTCGTGAAGGAGACGTCGCTTGTGACTTCGTAACGGGTCTGCCTTGGCAACCAAACAAGAAGCGACCTGTCTTTCCCACGCCCCCATGTGGAAAAACAGGCATTTGCGAGCCAAGCTGCCAGGGGAGGAACTCCAGGGAGTGCAAGGAGCTGGCCAGCTTCAGGTCCGCGAGCTCCCCGACCGAACACGCATAGGCCGTCATGTGCCCGGCGGAGACGCAGCAGGAGAATGCCACCAGGGCCAGGAAGGCTGGCAACACGAGGAAGCCGGCTCGGGAGCGGCTCAAGAAACGGAGCAGGGGCCCCTGCCGAGCCACGGATGTCAAGCTCCATCTGCGGGACGATGCAGTCGAGGAAGGCAACGCGGAGCCGGTGCCGGGGGAGTCCGACTCCAAGAGCTTGCGAAGCTCCTGCGAGTCTCTGGCTCGTGCCGCACGTGACTGCATTCATCCAGGAGGACACACATGTCCTCACCATCGTCAGCATCATCACCTCCAGCAGCAATATCAGAATCATCATCGTCATCGTCGCACTCACCACATAACCATCCACGTCATCATCATCATCATCATCATCATCATCATCATCATCATCATCGTCATCATCATGCTCATCATCATCGTCGTCTCCACTGTGCAGCACCATCACGAAAAGGAGATAGCAGGATCTGAGAGGAGGAGGAGGAGGAGGAGGAAGCTCTGCTGCATCTTGCTGCAGTAGTTCTTGCTGCTGTCTGAAGGTGGCAAGTGCGTGCTGCTGCTCCACGTGAACTGCTCTCTGTGCGACAAGCACAGGGTCCTGCGGTTCCTTGAGCGCCAGCAGCGTGGCCCAGGGCAGTGGCTTCATTTTGAGCTTTTCCGTGCCGGCTACCAGGCACGAAGAGCCCATCTCCACGATCTCGAGACTATTGTCCAAGTCGCGCGCAGTGCTAACGGCCTTGAGGACCGTCCACAATGCGCTGCCCAGAGCTGTCAAGGCGACCACCAGTGTCTGCAGGTCGATGCTTACGAGGTAGAGGATGAAGAGGAAGTACGCCAGGATTGCGACCACGAGCACGGCGTCGAGGATAACGTCATCCGGCAAATCGGTGATGATCACGTCCCACTTCAGGAACGCGTGCACCAACTGCTTCTTCACGAGAAGCTGCGACAGGCGCAGGGCAGCTGCAAGCGCCAACACGGCAGGGCAGACTGCGACGATCCACACGGGGGCCTGCCGCAGGGTTTCGTGGGAACTAAAGAGAGGAGCTCGAAGCGGCTTCCTGCGGCTCTCACTTTCTGAAAGCACGGGCCTCCTCTTCGGAGGACTTCCGGACCACTGCCAAAGCTCCCGTTTGCAAGGCCATCAAGGAGAGGAGAAAGCCGGCTGCCCAGGAGTAGCTGCTGAGGAAGTTCTGCATCGGGCTCTTCACCCTGACAAAACTCTGATTTAGCGTCGCCGGCTTGGGTTCCTCCAGCTTCTCGCTTGCCGCAGACATGCACACCATCCAGACGGACACCCCAAGAATCAGCACGAGGCTTGCCAGCACCGTGCCTCAGCTTCGTCCCGACGGCTGTGGGAAGCACGACACCACAGCCGACATTTCACTAAAGAAAAGAAGCGAAGCTATCCTCGCCCAGGCGCCAGCCAGGAGGTCCGGCACCCCCTCCGGGCAGTTCTCCATGGAAATCCTTTCGGGCAAGCGCTTGCAGTGCAGGAGCTCCGGACACTTCCACACGTCAGGACAACTGCTCGCAGCCGAGCCGCTGCAGCGCCTGCGCTTTCTTGGAGTGGGGGAGTGCCGCCAACATGCGTCCCAGCACCTCGTGTTTGGGACGCACAGGGGTGGCAGGGTTGGCTTCGGGCTTGCTCCTGAGCCGAATGTGTGCAAACCACGGAAACACCGCCCCTCAGCCTCAATGTCCGGGACTCTTTCATCCTCTTTCATCGCAACCCTAGAAACCCCATGAGCTGCTCGGGCAGAAGCACAACAAGTCCTTAAGCTCTTGAATTGCAACTACCTTATGGCCCTGACAAGTAGCCTCCCGTCCATCAACGCCAGAAACACTACTCTGGCCGAGCAACGCCCAGCGGCCGTTCACCACTCAGCTTGCAAACGCAATGGGTATCGTCGCTCCTCATTCAATCCAAAAAGCAAGTGCAACGAGGTTATGCTCGCTCGTGGCGCAAAAAAAGGCAAATCCTCTTTCAACCGACATGCACTTGTGCATCTATCGAGAAATCAATTGAGGAGCACCGCGTCTTCGACACGTGGCTGCCAAGCGGCTGAGCTGCACAGAGCTTGGCTTTGTCCGACGTCCCAGCACGCATCTTGTTAATAAGGACGGGGTCTACGAAGACTGCCACGAACGAGCCATTCACCGGGTCCTTCCGGCAAGACTCAATCGCACATGATGAAGTCTAATTATTTCCTATCATCAACCCTTGTCCTTTGGTGGATGCCAATATGCCATGCTGTTTCAAGGAAACACCCGCCCGGCGTCAGCCCTTCTCCGGTCCTCGGCATCGATCCAGGGCACCACGTTGGCCTTTGGGCTAGAATCGGCCGAGGCATCTGCACAGTTGGCGCTCACGAAGTACCTCGGCTGCCCAACTCCCTTTCGAAAGCCTCCATAGATATCGAAACCTCAATCCTTCTAAACCCCTAAACCATAAAACCAACAAGAAACCCTTATAGAAAGTCCGAGCTGCTTGGCCTTTCCAAGGCTTCTAGCGGCTTCTCCGTGCAGCTCGTAGGAACCACTGCGGCCCGAAGGCGAAGTGCAGATCTCTGGGCACTCCTCCTGGGAGGTCCTGAGACTGAGCGCTTTTTAGCTTCGGGGTTCAGTCTTCTCCCGTTGTCGGACTGCGACTGTTCTGCCGAAAAACCATGCCACCCTTCTTTCGGCAAGTGAGAATGACAAGGTTTGCTGCTGAATTTAAGCTGAGGGGAAGAAGCTTTCAAAGACTTGCGTGCCAAGCATCGTGAGCGTGCGGAAGTCGAGGTCTGAGTCGCGAAGGGAATCAATGCACGTCAATTCGAGGATCAGGGCAAAATGCCACGAGATCCGATATGGAATCCATTTTGCATCCATCTATATCTCTATCTTCTTTGAGCCGAGGACGGCTATTCGGGCTCCCGCATGGCAGACCAAGCTCAACCACGGCAAGGTCCAAGATATAAGATTTAGGCAAACAATCCTCGCCGTCCCTTCCTGTCTGCATCAGGAAGCGTGCAGGCAGACAGGGCCTGCTTGGTGTCCTGGCTGGCCCGATGCTGCAGGCTGAAGCAGCCTCAAGGAGAGCAAATGCTGCTTGCTTTGCTGCTGATAGGTAGAACGATGACAGCAAAAGCCAAACCACAATGAGGCACGAGAAAAGTCAACGTCTTCAGCGTCAGCGTCAGCTCCACAGAGCAAATGTCTTTGCTCCAGCGTGTCCCATGCTCTGCAGGCTAGTGGCTGTGGGATTCTCTGATGTTTTTTCGAAGGCTGCATGAACTTAGGCCCCGGCCAAGCTTGTCGCGTTGCTGGATTCAAGCTCCTTCCTTCCCACTCCGCGCGCTTCCGACCTGCCTCGCACTTGGCAGCTGCAGCATTTCCACAGGTCCGTGCATTTGGGGAGAGCTACCGGAGCTGCTGGAAGGGCACATCTGTGGGTGATCTTTGGGGTGTTCGTCATTACAGGCTGCTCTGCAAAGGATCGGGAACCAAATCGCCTCCGTGCTGGTGGCTCGGCCTGGCAGCGAAGAGGACTGAAACGTCGTATATGCTTGAGCCACCTAGGTTCTGCTTCTCTTCAGGTGACATGCCATGCCGGACAGAGAAAGCTTCTGCTTGCATCCCTACAATGAAATACAAGGCTGTACCAGCCTCTAAGCTCACACATGTGGAATCAGATTTCTCAACTGCTCCAGGCCCTTTCGAGCGGTTGCTCGTCTTTTTCGCGTCTTTCTTTACTGCTCAAACCCTTTCCAGCGATTTAATCCCACTTATCTGACCCCTTTCCAGCGAGTTAATCCCACTTATCTGACCCCTTGCTTCAGTTCCTTTTGAAAAGCTTTCTCGAGTCCTGATCGAGCGGTTCGCCCCTCTTTCGCAAATTCTCTACTCCCTTTTGAGTGGTCTGTTCCCTTGTCTCAGAGGTTAAAATTCCTCTCGAGCCCTCTAGCCTGAGATTTGTGATCACAACCACGGCCTTGCCTCTATCCAAGTCATCACGATCACGAGTCGTCAGGACGTTCTACTTCTGCTCGGGCAGCTTGTCCTCACAAAACCGCGCACACTGAGATCCTGGGCCCTGAATTTAAGGATGCACCAGACGGCAGCACCATCTTACGGATGCAGGAACACGGTGCCTTAGCACATGCGAAACTAAACAGAGCACGTGCTGGAGATGGTCCATATATCAATGCACCAAATCATGCCAATGTGGACCGTGGACCTTTGTGAGAAACGCATCGTGTGGAGACAACGAGCCTCGCCTCCAAGCCCGGGCTGGCGAAAGAAGGATTTCTGGAAGCGTCTACAGTAGCTGATCATTAGCTACGCGGTGTGGCTATGGGGTGGTGCTTCAACAAGCGAGACTACTTCAATCTACCAGTCTACACTGCAATGTCTTGCTCACAGCATACACAAGCGTTTCCTGGCAATGCCGATTTCATGTTCCACAATCCCAGCAACCATGTGGCAACTCGCTATCTCCGCCTCAGCAATGCAGGCGCCACTGGTTTCCGGAGACCTGCGCAATCTGCCAAAACACTATCCGGCGGCCAATGGATTACATGCGGAGTGGGGCTTTTGTTGCCAGCAACCCCATAACTGCGTAAAACACATGCACCCACCAATATTCTTCAGGAGCCGTATTTAGCCAAAAAACCGTTGTACAAATCCTGCTTCATGTGACCCGAGGTTTGTCGTGATATGTCGTGAAACAGACCGACAAACTGCGTGCCGCGACTGAACCGGAAACACCAACCGCGGCTTCAACCCTGGCCTTCGCGAGTCGAGGCCACAAGGGCTCCCAAGGCACTCGGAGCGTCCCGCTCAAAGGCTGAAGCCTGTAGGCGAATTGCATTGCTGTCGCAGCCTTTGTGGTCCGGTGGCGGGTCGGCGAACCCCACAAAACTACATCAGCTTGAATACTGTGGCGTTAGGTGAAGTTCTCGGGGGCGGCGGTGAAGCTCTCCGAGACATGGATGCTCTGGTATGTACATCTTTGAGAACATGTAAAATTTGTGGAATCAAGGACACTTGACGGCTGTGGTTTCCACCAGCAAGGGATCTCAATTCTCAGAAAATCTCCTCGGCACCTCTTCTGCCGAGCGGGCAGAGCCAGCCATTCGCGGCGACAAAGGTTTTTGGTTGACGGAACAAGGACAATGCATCTCGCTTCAGCTTCGACCATGGTGCTTCAAGTTGGAGTGGCCAATGCTTTTGCAGCAAGACGTTTCAATTCTTGGATCGCGCTTTGGACTGCAAGGGTTTGTGCACTGCGAGCCAGAAGTTATAGCCGGGGTGCTGCAACAGGGAGAGTCAATAGGCAACCAGCTTCAATCGGAGTCTGACAACATGCTTTTTCAATCTGAAAACCTAAAAACCCCAAAATGCAGGCAACCATCAAGCGCCAACAGCATTCTGCAGCCGTGGTACAAACCCACATGCATCCGAGATATACAAAATAACATACGTCCTGCGTTGTTTCCTTTTCACTCCGATACTAGACTCCCACGGACCTGCAGAAGCAGCACTGACCGCGCGCACACAATCGGGCTGTTGAATTGAACTCCAGCCTTCGTGACAACGTTGAAACCAGAAAACCTGCAGTTTCCATGCCTTCCGGTCGCTGCGCTGACAATGCTAACAAAAACCCTTTACGGTTTGCGGAATGGTTTGTTGGTTTCGGCAACTATATCGTCAATCCATAACATTGAAATTAAGAAATGTACCGATTGCGATGTAATGTTTCGTGGACATCATTGTCGAAATGCAGAAATCTTGAAGGAGGGTTTCTCAAGGGCTTTTAAAGGGTGAGCTTGAAGGCGAGCTTGAATGGGCTCCACATCCCTGGACCCCACATCGCGCAGCGCAAACATCAGGGGAGCGAGCAGCAGCACCGCCACAAGAATCATGGTTGAGATGTGCTAGTGTTTTGGGGTTTAGGGCCTATAGGGCGATAGGGTTCAGGGTTTAGAGTTTAGGGTGAGCTTTGAACACCTCAAAACTGCTACACCTCAAACCCGCAGAGCCGCAAAACCCTCGGAGCCGGTTGGCACAAAGCTCCCAAGGCCCAAAACAGTGACAGGTCTGAGACCAGGCACGAGGCACCGAACTCACTTTGTCAACTTTGCACCCGATGGGTGAAGAGTGTAGAGGCTCGGCATAAGCCTACAGCTAAGTGCCTCCACGGCAGGCGTTAACACCAGGAATCTCCATCACTTCTTCAGCTCCTGCTCCCCGATTCCGACGATTACTGGGTTTTCAGCCTCTTGTGTTTTTGATCGAGATCCTTGAAGCCAGCTTTCAGAGAAGCTTGTGGCGATTTTGACAAGACTGAAGCAAGGGGGGATCTGAGTAACCTCGTCAGAACCCATCTCATCTTCATCAACACTGAGGGGTTTCACCCGCTAAACACCATTTTGGGTGCGTCTCTCTCAGCCCATTTGGATTTCCATTGCGGACTGTGGGATCGCTTGAAGCTGCTGGTAGCTTTTCAAACAAGCCCCAGCCCAAAAATGTAACAAACTCAAAGAGTACGCAAGCAAGTCGGCTTTGTGAGCTGTCTGTTCCATCAATCTGCACAGCAAAGTACGTAGAAGCTAGGAAAAACTGCTGCCAAAGGATCATAATCAAGGAGCTAAGTAGGACTTAAGTAGAGCTCGAATGGAAAACATGGGGATGCCCTACTTGAAACCCTACCTGCCTAGCTCTTAAGTCCCCGCCTCCTGGACCCCAACCCTTATGACTGTTGAGATCCAAACCACCCTACAAAAACCCTTATCAACCAGCCTAGAAGCCTAAATAATTACCTATATTATGGTTAGGGTTCCTTATTATAATTATACTATACAGGGCCCCAAAACCCTGTTCGAATTATTAAGGCTGCAAACTGTGCAGTGCCCAGCCCGGCCGCCTACGGGAAACAGCAAGGCTGCCCGAAAGCACAGTCCGGCCATTGAGGGCTCAACGGGTTTTAGGTGTGGCTCTACGTATGGGCCGTAGGCTCAACTCGTGCGTACTTCGTAACACACTAATATGGAGTGGTTTCACGGGTGGCTCCGGCAAAGCCGAATCACCTGCTTCTGCGCTGCGTCCCTTCAGCGTCTGCAGCGCTGCCCTCATTGCGGTAACCTCCCTGCGAGCTTGTCTTCACAAATGTATAAACTTGACGTCAGTGCTGCAGACACTATTTGTAACAGTATGTATTGTCTCGATTATTGTTATTCTGATTATTGACGGAGTCTCAGGATTGTCTGGGGCTCGCGGCGAAGGGTTACCTGCAACACCGAACTCCCTACTAGCGGGATGCACAAGCAGCTTGGATCAAAGCTGATGTGCGAGACCCTCAGCTTGTGCAGAGCGGGAGGCGGAGTGGTCAAGCAACTTTCAGCACTGAGCGCGACCTGGCAGAGCCCATTCACTCCAAAACGCGACGAAACTCTGCACCCTGAAACCCTTGTGGTGGTATGGTTCCCTAAACCCTAAACCCTAAACCCTAAACCGGAGATCCAGCGAGCCTTCTTCTCATCCGTGTCCCGAGCCTTGCCTGGGCATCCTGGGCATGGCTGTGCTTGCGACATCATGTTGCGGGGAATTCAGGTAAGACGTCCTTAAAAGAACCCCTAGAGATACCTTAGAGGAGTACCTGCGTAGAACTTAACTCTGATTGAAGACTATTCTCCTTCCTGCTTAGGGTTTAGGGATTCTTGCAAGGACCACGAACTTCTCATGGCGAGGCTCGTCTTCTTCTTTAGCAACTTGTCTGCGATCACTCGAGCTATCTGCATCTCATCTAGGTCGCGGCAGTCCTGGGTTGCGCAGGATTCTCAACAAGGCCTGTTCTTGACATGCGCTGTTTCATGTGCTTCGAACGAGCTCGGAGGAATGAGTTAAGTTCTTCTTGACAAGTTCAAGATCCAAGTGTCCTTGTAGGCGAGGTTGGGTCTGAAGACCATCTTGATCACGGACTCTGCTTCGTAATCCTTGTCGTACTGATGATCCGGACCGCCAGGCGGTTGTGGGGGGTCGACGTCTGCCACTTTCAGCGGGAGAACATCCAGACTGTAGTCGAGGGCGAACTGTAACTCTTTAAAAGAGCAGAAGGGTGAGCTGGTCTTCTCAGCATAGTGAGCTGTGCAAACACAAATCAAGACACCCTTTTCTTTCTCAATCTTGTTTAAATACTTCGTTGTTGCTTTGCCGAAGTCGTCACCAACATCGGCGTCGACCATCAGGACCGGAAAGTTGTGCTCCTTACAGGTCGGCCATCACTCATGACGCAAACACTTGCGGTGGAAACTTCGTGCCAGATCAAGCAAACAAGAACACATGTTCAAGACGGTGCCTTCAGGATCTTGTGAACATGCCGAAACTTGTGCTCTATGATCCCGCCGTCAAACCTGGCCGAGAACATTCCCGGCACAGCATCTTTGCCGTCCGGGAAAGTGTCCTGCCAGCGGAGGAAGTCTGTCACGACCATGAACACTTGGAAGCCCTATTTTAAAGAGCCTAGCACCACGTAGTGGTTCGTCAGAAAAGCTGCTTGCGCGCACCCGTTGTTGTAGAGCACATGAGATATGGGTCTGCAACCCATGAGAATGCTCGCACCATCTCCTCATTATGGGTAAGGCAGGATTTTTTTATCATCAGCCGTATTTGCTGAGGCTCGAATACCCCATGGGGTGGTCCTCGTGTTCACAAGGCTTGAAACTTAAGGGTTCAGGGCTTCAGGGATTTAGGGTCTAGTGGTTTAGGGTTTTCGGGTGTTTAGGGCTAAGAGCTTCAGGGTTTTAAGGCGCGGCAGACTGCAGAGACAGGCTTGCAATTTCTTACCGCTCTTCACGCTTCCGCGCGCCACCAAAAAGCAGATGCCGACCCTAATCCCCTAAACCCCAAGTTTCTAACACCCTAAGCCCCAAATCCCAACCTTTCAAAACTGCTGGCATCGCACTTCGCGCTCCTACCCTAGAGATAATACTATAGAAGCTCGAAGTATACTATCTGATCGGCTGATCGGCCGATTGGCTGATGCGCAGTTAGAAAACCCATTTCGCGAGCGCAATGTATGTATACCGATTATACCCGTAGAGTCCCCATGTAAGTATCCAGAATGTATCCTCGAACACTTTCCTCGTTTTCTACGGCCCCTAAATAAGCCTGGCTAAGATCTGCACATTAACCTCTATTCAGCCCTATCGACAGCCCGTTCAGAGCCTTCTAAATTGTTCTATGAAACCCTAGAATGCTGCGACCACCGACCTCATCTTGTCAGCAAAGCAATTTTTTCCTGATGAGTGCCTTTTGTATCCTTTGGTACCCTACGAAAACCCTACAGAAACCACCCTTTCCCGACCCTTCAAGGCGTTTTTGAACGTGGCCTTCGGCGGCTGCGTGACTGGCTCCGGAGGCACCTGCGACTACTTCCCTTACAAGGTAGACACAGAACACGATGCTTTCGAGATCCTTATCACAACTGGAAAGGCTCCTACTGACCCGGCCTTCTGGATGTTCTGATCGTCCAATGCAGATACTCTCATGGACGTGTTCAAACAAGTTGCAGCAACCGTACAAAGCTTCAAAGCAAATAAAGGCATGGTCAAGTTTTCAGCGAGAGTCAAACTGCATGAAAACAACATGTTTTGAAAACACATGTTGTGGCCACCAGCTGGAGTACTTCTCCCCAAGTGCGCCACTGCAGGTACGTTTTCACTGCATTCACAGAAGCGTCTTCGTTGGCTGGAGACTTCTGTGATGCACTCCAGCCCCCTGCAAACTTAAAAGCGAAAAGAGCATGAAAACAAGAAAATTCATGGGTCAAAGCATGTACCTACAAAGAATTTCAACCAGAAACGCCGAGGAAAAGTGGACATGTGAATGCAGGTTTTTCGCATGTACAGCAGAATAACACAAACAGGCCCCCGAAGGGGCACGAAGCATCAAGGTGCAGGTCTTTTGCGACTGTTCCCAATCATCGTGTGAGCAGCAAGCCTATTGATGTCTACGTTTCTTGATGGCTCTCTCACTGCGGTCAATAACCTGGTGGTAATAGCATCGGCAATGATTGTGACCTTCGTCTGCACGAGCACATACACGACCACAGTTCGTATGAGAGCATAATCCGGAGCATCGTGACATCCTTTGTTGAAAGTCCGAAGAATCACGTAGGATTTCGACAACTCGAAGCATCAACCGAATAAGGTCTTGTGGGTGGATGTCGTTAGAGCGAAGAGCATCGAGGGCATCGGCAGCTGATGTTTGCACAATATCCTCCAAATTGTCATCGCTGGCTCGCCTCGACCCTGGTTCGTAACGAAGAGTACGACGACCACTGGACGACATGATTACGCTCTGAGACTTCAAAAAAGCTTGAGCACTGCACATCAGCACGATAGAAGGCAATCCTAGGGCCACATGTCAAGACTCGCATGACCAAGGACACCATTTATACTCATGTGGCGTGATCCGCTCAAGTCCAGGTCGATTCTACACTTTACAGTGGGTGAACAATGCGGCGCACATTAAGATCATCGATGAAAGCCGACCCAATACGCACTCGGTCTTCATTGGAGTGATGAATCCATTCCACATTGGCATGGCGCACTTGGGCAAGACGCCAAAGCTGCTGAATATTGAAGAATGTGCGATCGCCAACCAATCGGATAATAGTGTAATACCATTCTTTGCACACGGACGCATACACCACAATATGAGGTAAGGCGGGAGCTTCACACGTAATCGGCGTGTACACACTGGGTCCTTGCATAAAGAACTCCCATACTTCAGCACGAAGATCCATCCCTTCTGTTCTGCATTGTGTGACAAACTGTTCAAGATCATACATCGTATGGAATCCATGTCTGCGAAGAGTAACATCCAGAGTCTCAAGTGGATCTAATGCTGGGAAGGTGAAGAAGAAAATTATATGGCGTCGGGTGCAGATAAAAGTCAGCACTTTCTCGGTCAGAACAGTAAGTTCCCACATGGCGTCGAGGAAAAGTCTACGACCTTCAGAAGGCACTACGAAACATTCGGGCTCACATCCTGCAGTAAAAGAAGGACAACTGGTAGATTGCAAAAGCAACAAAAACTCATGAGCTCGCATAACTGACTGCGTAGTACGCGGAAAGGCAGCAACTCGAGAAATCGAAGATGAGAATGGTAAATGTTGACCAAATTGCCGTAATTGGAAGGCGTTCAAACGGGGTGGAATCCCCGTACGGTTCGCAAGCTCATCGCACACCTTCCTCTTCAAGTCATCGATCGTAGAATCTGTAGGCAAAGAAAGCCAGAAACCCATCTCACGTCCGCCAGAGCATATATCCGGAGGAATAACAACTGGAATCCTGACCATCGGAGCTGGGGCCGGAAGGGCCGCCATACTTGCTGTTCGCTTCATCTTACAAATTGAGCCGTAAGCAACTTCAAAGTATGATGCTGCAAGAAAGCAAGAAAGCACAACACATGTCTGCGACTCAGAAGTTGCAAGCAAGTTTGGGACAACAGTTTTGTCTTCCTCGTACGTCTGGCTTACCTGATATGACGAGAACCTCCAGGTGAAACAGTGGTGCTTGATCTTGACCTAGATCTCGAACGGGATCTCTCTCGAACCTCCGATTCACTCATGGATCTGCTTCTCCGAGCAGCAGGAGCAGTCTGTTGCCGTCGACGGGGCAATGCGCCACGCTGTTGAGGGTCCGAAAGAGTCGATCCATCCATGACTATCGGTGCAGCGTCACTCGAAACAGCTCCAAGAGAGGCATCTGGAGGAGAGGGAGACGGAGAAAAAGGGAACCGGCCAGAAGCAGAGAAGGAAACAGGGAGGGGAGGAGGAAAAACAGGAGGGGGAGGAGGCGGAGGAGGAAGGGGAGAGGGAGAAGGAGAGGGAGCAAGAAAAGAAGACAACGAAGGGACAGAGGGCACAGAGACAGAGTGGGAGGGAGCACCAAGATGTTGTGCAACAAGAGCATCCGCATCGTTCTGAATCCGGCGTCGAAGATGAGAAAGAAAGACTGCCCTCTGCCGGCGATCTCCCAAGATCTGAAAAAGAGCCGTGACTTGATCTCCATCCAGACTGCTGATTATGTCATTGCAGCTCAGCAAAGAGCCAGACATTGATACGTAAACATCGGTGCATAAGTACTTGAACCAACGTCTGCCAAGACTCACGTTTTTGGCAAACTGAGGCACACAAATGGACAGAACAGTGGCGGACACTTTTTTAACCTCAAAGCCGCCTAGATAACTCGAACATGCGCAACAGGAAATTCGCATGCCGAGAACGTAACTTGGTGAAGTTGGCACCAACATGTCTCGATACACATAAGCTGGTATGTACAAAAGGGCTTCAATCGAGAACCATGGCAAACTCGTAATCGCATCAGAAACTTGATATGTCGCAATGTCAAAGCGCGACACTGCACTGACAGGCACAGGAAGGACTCACTGCATCGTGGAAGAAGATGTGTAAAGTTGAAAGTAGCAGAGTCATTGGACAGTCCATGGTAATTGTGTGCTTGAAAACAGCGTCCCAACCCATATATCAACCATCGCTGCCACTGGACGTGCTGCAGGTTTCGGCAAGAATCGGGATTGTCACATCTCTGTGTGCTAACATGCACACTGCTACGTACCATAAGAAAAGAGAATATGCAGAATCGAGGCGCATCCTCCATCCAAACATCACGAAACTGGCAACGGGTCATGGTCTATCGATTGGTGGAGCATACTTCTTGAGCACATGCAGCAAACTTGCCTGAAAACATGCAAGCCAACCAATGCCAAGAGAGTGAGAGACATACGATGCGAATGCACGAAGCGCACCTAAAACAATCTTTTTTATGCGTCAAGTGACATGTCACTCTGACATGGCTCGTCGGAATCGTCAGCATTACAGTCAGAGAAAGAAACAACAAAGGAAGAGCAAGAAGACCCAGGAAAGGAGGAGCAAGACCAAGACCGCGGAGAGGAGGAGCAAGAGGGAACAGAGGACACACGGAGAGGGCCAAAGGAAACCGACGAAGACACGAGGGAGGCAACCGAGGAAGCAGGAGAGAGAGACAACAGCGGAGGACGAGCAGACGGACGGGGAGGACCAGACGGAAGAAGAAGAAGAGGAAGAGAGGGAGAAGAAGGAGGAGACAGAACCGACGAAGACAAGGACCGACCAGACGAGGAGAAAGGAAAGGCAGACAAAGACAAAGGAGGAGAAGAGAAGAGAGGACCAGAGGGAACAGACGAGGAAAGAGAGGAGCGGACAGGAACACGAAGACCGAGAAAACGAGCAAAAGAGAGACAAGAGGCATGGGGTGAAACGGGAACATGTTGCTTGACACAGAAAAGAACCATCATGATGCGAGTTCCAGTGAAAGGCATGGTGGCATGAATCACATTTCCGTCAAAGCAGCAAGGTTGTCTGACATCCAAGAGTCTGCCTTTCAAGTGAGCACCATGCGATGCAACATTGCAATTGAAATCATCAACTGTATATGTAAAGCGACCTCGGTCTTCCACAACAAATAATTCTCCACCTGTCCAGTCTCCAATGGCCCAGCCAATGCTTGGGCCGTGATTGTTTGAATCTCTGTGCGGAATAGTCCGGACATTGCGATTGATCTGTATACTGGTAACTGCGAGATCCGAGAATTGGGAAGAATAATGTAGCATTCGGACAATCAACTTGGTAAGGCCAGGGAACCGGAATGTGTTCTTTGTAAACTGCAATCTTCCTCGAGACTGCACGCCAGAATACAAGCCAAGCAATATCTGATCTGCATGTGCTTGGTCTGTAGATCGCACCTTCTTTCGACTGTAACTCAACCACATCCGTGGAGGAATACCATCAAGAATACGAAATAGACATGCAGCCAACTCGTCCAGTGACTGAAAATTGAAACCATCGGCATCTACATCAAAAGGGCTACGCTCTATGGTGGTCATGTTGACATGGGGCTGAGCAAAAGTTCAGCACACAAGACGAAATGATGCACAAAGCGCTGCAATGCATTAGCCACTTGAGACTGCAAACCCTAGCATCCGGGCAGTTAAGTTTTCAGGCGTACGGTCCACGGCGGAGTGCAACACTCAGAATGTGGGCAAGCGATTGATCTTATTCACTCTGAAGCCGGAAGAAAACAAGCGAAGACAACCGGGGGTAAGGAGGCATCAACAGTCACTTATGCATCACGTGCCCACGATGTCCAGAAGACAGCAGTGCCGACTAAGACACTCCGACTGGAACGAAACATCCAACGGCCGTCCTGGCCGTGAATCAAATCGCCGAAATGTCCGAATGTTTGATCGGAGGCGTTGACAGCCTTAAAATGATTGTGTTGCCTCACAAAGGTCCAGCCTAGCGCCGCACACGTACGAGAATCAACTTGCTTTCCTCCGAAGCGGCGGGCCCCCAACATCGAATTTCTCATAGCGATCAAATGCTCCGGCTGAGATCCGTCAAGCTTTGGAAGCCGAATAGCAGGTTTCGGCCAAGTCATGCGGCCGTAAAAGCCGGTAGATGGGACCCATGTGCGGTCCGCCCGGTCGAAGAATGATGGTCTCACAACTTCCTGATTGATGATCGAAGCCAAGTCCTGAGGGACTGTATTGTGAACAAAGGGCACAGCGAAACAAGTGGCAGGATCATCCGGAAGCCTCGTTGTTGAAATAAGGAAAACTCCTTGGGGAGCTTCATGTGAACCATCATCAACAAGGCCAGTGTCCGGGTCCGAGTTCCCCGGGAACAACCAATAAGATCCACGGCCGGCCTGGAGATCATCTCGAACAAAAGGGCGAAGGCGAGACACGGAGGATAGAATACGGGCAAGGCTCTGAATTTGCTTTTTGGCATCCGGGCCCATAGCAAAGTAATCTTGGGCATCCGACCATGAGTAATTGGCATGATGGTCGGCACCTGCCAAAATGGTAGCTATCCATCTCTCCTGGAGATCGAAGGGTCCAGTCGGAAGGACTGGAACAACAATTTCGGCCGCACTTTTAATACGATTGACGTCCTTCATGATCGCAGTCCGGTAGTGTAACAACACCCGTTCAATCTCAGACCAATACTTCTTCTTTTCTTTTTCGGAAGCGGTGGGATCGAAATTCCACACATTCATTCCTGCAACAGCCCGAATGGTATAGAATTGGGGCCACATCGAATGTTGAACATCAGGCCTGTCCAACTTTGTAGGTTCCAAAAATTGGACCCAAATCGGTGGTCCGGAAGAGGGCTGAACACAAACCCATTCGGTCGAGGGAGCTGGAAGCTCCGGTCCATCCGGAACTGCATACTTGTCAAGGCTGGCGTCAACAATAGCAAGCTGAGCTGAGGATGACGGCTTGTCTTCAATAGGTAGACGTTCCTCATCGGCAAGCTGACGACGCTTTCGTGGGAGAGGCGGGCACGGCTTCAAAACCGGGCTCCTTGAACGATCGTCCCGATTAGTGCCAAACAACCGAACAGAGGTCAGGCTTTCAATAACCCGATTTGCCATACCTTCGTCATGAATCTGAATAGACTGGGCCGAAGATCCACTACCTTCAGTGAGAGTCAAGAAAGGCGAAGGGGGAGGAGCTCGGGGAAGCGCAGCATCCACATGAACTTGAGGGAGCGAAGGAGTCGAAGAAGAAGAAGGAGGGGCAGGTGGTGCAGGGAGAGCGCGGCGGCCTCCGGAAGCGCTTCCGGTCGGCTGTGCCCATGCTGGAAGTGTGTCTGGCGGTGCAAGGGCTCGGTTCACCTCTTGTGCAACCCTCTTTCGAATATACATTTCCACGGAGCCACTTACAGGGCCAGGAGGGCCCGAGGACTTCGGGAACAGATTAAGACTGTCTTCCGCGGACATGGTCGAGTTTGCAGGAAGCTACAGAATATACAAGGCACAAAAGCTCTCGAGCAAAGGATACATGGCAAGCAACCAGCTCAATGGTACATGGACTGAAGCACTATGCAAACGCAGGCATCAACGAAGGCAAAGTCTGTTTACACTGCAGTCGGGCGAGCGCGAAGATTGTTAAACTGTAGCCTAACACGTTTCAGAATGGGGTACATCATCAGCGGATCGAATCCCTGTCGTACATAGGACTGCAGTAGCTGATCGAGATCGGCCTCACGCTGTTCCAACGGCCAAGAAGCACGTGCAATCAAGTGAGCTCTGGATCGAAAGCTGCTTAACAGTGTCCGTGTGTTGGCGGCAGAATTGGGGTGTAAGAACTTCCAGGTCTCAACAGGCTGGACATACTGTACTCGTAGTTCCTGTACATCCACATGAAAACCCAGGAAACCCTAAACCCTGAAGCCCTAAACTCGACTGATCCTTGGTTTAAGGGTTTAGTGCGTAGGATCTACAGCAGGGATTTAGGATGAAGGGTTTGGGGCTTGGGGTTAAGATCCGGCCTTGTTCAAAACGATGATGTTCGCGCATTCTACCTGGAGCAATCACAAGCCGAAGCAATGACATCATGAGGTTAAGCTTGTTCTAGCGACACCGACACCCTAAACCCTAAACCCCAGAATCCTAAACAACCGTGTACACTGGCAGACCACGATCCCAAACCGGAGCCCCGGACCCCCCCCCCCCCACCACTCTCGACCGTAATGGCCCCTGAACCGGAGCGGAAAATAGAAGAACCCTACACCCTAAACCATGCAGACCCAGGTGCTTGGTCAACCAGAAGCTGCGCAATTGTGCGCCTCGCTCAGCTGCAGCGAACTGCGGGGTTAAGCTCCAGTTCAGGCTTGATGCTGTAGGGCCCAGGGCAGGAAACTCTTAGCTTTGGTTAGTAGGGAATGGAAGAATGGTGCTAATAGTAGTTATAATTGTACCCCATTCCTCCATTCCCGACTGACCAAAGGTAAGAACTTACAAGTAAGAGGAAGACCCCAGCCGATTGGGGTCAGCTCCGGTTTAGGGGATTTGGGCCCTTAAGGCTGAAAGCCTCCAGGTTTTTGAGGCCCTGGAATCTACCGCATCAAGTCTCTCGACTGGTTTCAGGCTTCAAGGTTTAGGGCCTAGCATCGATAAGAAGGCTATTCTCGGGGATATATATATATACATATATATATATATATATATATATATGAGGTCAAGGGTTTCAGGATGTGCGGCAGAAGCAACAGCCAACGGACGAACCGCAGGACCCTCCAGACTGAAGCGCTGAACGAGCCGCGCATGCTTGCTTCCGTTGTCAGCTGATGTCATTCTGAACATACGCCCACTATCGCTCTGATAATCCTTGACATCCGAATCCTACTCCCAGCCTGGGTAACTATACTTATAACCCTAGTTAAGGGACTTATAACCCCACTTACAACTACCCCTGAACCTCCCAGCCTAATCACTACAACACACTTTTCAACACAAAACCGTGTCGCCGTGGCACCGGTCGGACTCTTCTGCACCCAGCTCCTCCCTGTCAACGAGCATCTGACCCATCTCCTTACCATTGGCTACTAGGGAATGGAAGAATGGTAGTAATAGTAGTTATGGGTTTAGGATTTAGGGTTTCGGGTTTAGGGTTTAGGGAATGGAAGAATGGTAGTAATAGTAGTTATCATTGTACCACATGCCTCCATTCCCTACTAACCAAAGGTAAGTCTCACAGTCCCTCAAGAAGTTCAGTGCATCCACCACGGTCACCAGGGTGTCTAAGCGGGCGACACTGCCAAGAAGGCTCTTACCGTCGTACTCGCTGACGAAGGTGGTGGCCACCGGCATAGGCTCGGAGATGCCAGTGCTTTCGATGAGGAGGTAATCGAAACGACCCTCCACAGCCAGCTTCTTGACGTTCTCAATCAGATCTTCCCGCAGCGTGCAGCAGATGCAGCCGTTCTGCATCTCCACCATCTTGTCCTTGCCTTTCAATATCTCGGCGCCGCTTTTCACCAGGAGGGCATCAATATTCACCGAAGCCATGTCATTCCTTACCGTTGGTTAGTAGGGAATGGAGGAATGGGGTACAATTATAACTACTATTACTACCATTCCTCCATTCCCTACTAACCAAAGGTAAGCCAAAAGTCCGACTTAAACCCTAAACCCAAACCCTAAACCTGTAAACCCTCAACCCTAAACCTGTAAACCCTAAACCTGTAAACCCTAAACCAATGCAAGATTCACGATCACCGCCACCCGCAGGCCCTTCGGAAGCACAGACGTTTCGGAGCCGGAGCTGTGAGGTATGATTATCCTACGCCCCTTTTATGGTAAATTATACGGTATCCTAGGGAGTTTAAAGTAAAAGCCAGAAAGTTGGAATATGATTATCCTACACCCTTTTATGGTAAATTATACGGTATCCTACTCTGAACCCAAATTCCAACCGTTCTGGAGTTCCCTTTAGGGCTTCAGGGCCTCGCCCCCCTTGGACTTCGGGACCTAGGGCTAGGAATTGCGGTTCTGGGATTTTTTGGGTGTAATTCTCATCGGCTGCTAGTGTTATTGCGATTATTGTTACTGCCATTCTTGGTTTTATACTATTACTTTTTCTATTACTACTATCGTTCTTATTGCTTTTATTATCCGTGTTATGAGTATTCTTGCTACTACTAGGGGCCTCTTGGTTCTGGAGCATGTGGGTCAGAAGGGTGGTCTTCCCGGCCCCCAGGAAGCCGCTGAGGACGGTGACCGGCAGCAGCTCTGCGCCATGGCCCGCTGCGGGAGGCTCACCGAGCATTTGCAGAGAATCCGACACCCTATAAACCCTTAAAACCCTAAAAACAAAAAAGTAGGGGTTCAAAAAACAAGGTTTGGGGTTTTGGGTTTGTAATAAAGCCCAAAAAACCCAAATTTAGGGCAGTTTAGGGGTTTGGATTTAAGGTTTCCGGTTTGGGCTTAGGCGGCTTCGCGTTTTGGGTTGAGGGTTTCCCGTGCCTCAACATGTCAGCTCTCGGCGCAACATGCTGGAGCCCTGAACCCTCAACGCCCGTCTGACTTGAGCCCGAGTTCTTGGACAAGTTGCGCAGGCAACCCACCTGTTCCAGGGATAGTGGTGCATGCATCAAAAAGCAATCCGTGAGAGTGTAACATCCTGATCTGCCGAACTGCACAGCCATCGAGGGGGTGCCCTGCTTTGCTGTGTTGCGGCCTCGTAAGAATGTGTGGAACATGGCTTAGAGTCTATGTGAGGAGCCTTGAGGGCCCACAGAGTCTCGTATGAGATGCGAGACACAGCACTTCCACAAAAACTCACCCTGCAAGCGCGCTGTGCATCAAACACAGCGAAGCTTAACGCCCTGGGCTGAAAGGAACAATTCCTTTGAAGGGAGTTTCGGGCTCAGGCGAAGAAGAGGCTGGTTGGTCCATACGGTTCTTGCGGCTCAGTGCTTGCAGTTCATACCATACACACTCCAGAGCGCGAAACCGAAAAGCCTCAGTGAAGCCTCCACTCGAAACCCTGATCCGAAGCACTTGAGCCCTAGAACCTTTGGAATCATGAACCCGCAAGAGCTATAGGTCTCAGTTGCAAATCCACAGCCTTAGGCCTTGAATGTTGAAGGCACAAACTCCGGGACTGCCGAGAGTCTAGAAACCAGAGTCATCTAGCGAATCTAGCCCGACATCGAAGGCAGCATGCCGGCTGTCTCAAGAACATCAGCACAAACCAAACGCTCCGCAAGCTTTCGGGATGCTTTAAAGGCCCAGGAGAACCCCCATCCTCATGGAGCTCGCATCTGCCAAGGCCGCCATGGCTCAGGCGTTGGGAAATCGAGTCGGACCGAAGCTTCGGGTCCACCGTGTGGTGGGGTGGGGGGCCCTTTTGGGCGTCTTGTGGGACTCCGAGACTTCTGTGGCTCATGTCAGGCAGGTCAGTTGACTCTCTTGGCCGGCCCTGCATCTATGCCCTCGGAGATATTTGAAGCTTGGATTCTTGGGGTTCTGGAGTTCGCACCCCTCCGATCTGCTCGAGCGACATGGTGAGAATCCGGAGCTGGCCTAACACAGCCCGGGCACGTCATGCTAACCCACAAGCCGAAAGCCTCGAGTCCTCGCGTAGAGGCACCTCGTCCCTAGCAGAAATGGCATGAGGGTCTACAGTGCACCTGCTCCCCGACTTTTCTGATACGTCGGCAAGCCGGGAAGTAGAAGTTCGAGGGGCAGCGGATGGTTCCCACCGTAAACGGAATCGGCTGTAAGTAAGTCCGGGTCAAAGTGGTGTGACAACGGTAGGCATATATTACCACGACGACGGGGGTTTAGAGGGGTTCAGGGTTTGCCCTCACAGACGGCATGAGCAGCTTTTCCGGCAGATGTTGCAAGACTTCGTCCCATCCTTCGCGAGCCTGGAGGCGAGGAGTGTCACACAGCCCTCGCACTTCGAGAATCCGAGTGATGGTGCTGAGGTACATGTGGCAACAAACATTCCCCGAAAGCACACGGTTCAGAACCGAAGGTTCGGATTGTCCTAGCGAAGCCCAGCTAAACCCTTCAAACTTCTCCCGATGCTCCCCTTTTTTTTGCATCCTGAGGGCCAGACCGCCAAACCGGCGCAAGCTTGGAGCCCTCGGGCGAGGCTTCGGCGACTTCTCACGCCTGCGGCTGCTTCCCATTTTTCAGAGCTTCGCGGGGGGCAGAGGTGGCAACTTTGGAAGAAAACGAGGCGGCTCTCGGGCCTGTGAGGGACCCAGTGCCGAAGCTCAACGAACCACCGAGGCACGCTCAGCAGCCATTTTTTGGGCTCTTCAGTGCACGTTGCCGAATCAAATTTTGCATTTCAATCCCTGTTCCTTGCAGATCGCTGGGGGGGTTTGCAGCGGGTTGCGGAACAGTTCCAACTCCTCCAGCTCCTTGAGCCCCTGGAAAGTTCCGGGCTCTAGGCTCTGGAGTTGGTTGCCGTCCAGATCCAACTTCTTCAGCTCTTTGAGCCCCTGGAAAGCGCCGGGCTGGAGGCTCCGGAGTTGGTTGAAGCGCAGCCACAACATCTTCAGCCCTTTGAGCCCCTGGAAAGCGTTGGGCTGGAGGCTCTGGAGGTGGTTGTTGGCCAGAAACAACTCCTTCAGCTCTTTGAGCCCCTGGAAAGCGCCGGGCTCTAGGCTTTGGAGTTGGCTCCTGTACAGATGCAACTCTTTCAGCTCTCCGAGGCTTCCGAAGGCCTTCGCTTGAAGAGTCAAGAGCCGGAAGTTGTTGAGCCGCAACTCGGTGAGAGCGCTGAGCCGCTCGAAGGACCGCAGAGCCTCGGGCTCCGGGAATTTGCGGTCCACCGGGCACCGGAGGCAGCTGATCGTGAGCTCTCGCAGTTTCGGCGCGAGCTGCGCCAGCGCGCCCAGCTGCCCGAGCTGGGCCGCATCCTCCAGATACACCTGCCGCATCTTCGTCAGGCTGGCGAAGGCCACCTGCGCACACACGCGACAGATCCGCGTGGCGTTTTCTTGCTGCGGCACAGCGACCCTCCGGCATCGTCGTCGGCCGTAAATCCCCGAACACAACAAAATCGAAAGGGGGTTGTTGACAACATGATGGTCATTCATGGATGGATATTATGGCATGCAGCTTCGGAATCAGCGGCATTCAGAAAGCCAGCTTCTTGCGATTGTGCATGGTTAGTTCAGGGAGGGGGCCAGTTCAGGAATCCTTCGATGCAGGAGGAAACCTTCTATGCAAGAACGAGGGCCTTCGAAGACTGGACATCTTGGTGTATCCTTTCCGACTGTTTTGATTCGAGAGCCCAAAGTCAGTCGGCTGCATGCTGGACATGTGGGGTGAAGCGCAGGCACGCTGTGCCTCAGAAGACATGCACTGTGTGCGACACCATACCATCCAAAGAGCAAGAAACATAGAAATAAGAGAGAGAGAGAGAGACAAACAAAACAGAAAGAGAGAGAGAGAGAGAGAGAGAGAGATATATATATAACAAAAAACTGCAGATAACAAAACGATGTAAGGAGCTGCGCCTGCACCTGCGGCGTCACGGGTGGCATCGTGCCTAAGGGGCTCTTCACCAGAGCTTCTGCCAGGCGCTGGGGCATTCTCTCGTCCAGGACTGCCAGTGTGGCGAGAAGGTCACCCGACGGCTCCGGCAGTCGCCAGACCTCCCGCACAGCGTCCTTGTCGAATCGCTCGGCTTCCTCTTGGCGCAGGTTCCTTCGGATCGCCTCCAGCAAGCGCAGCGAGGTGCCGTTGCTCGCTTGCTCCAGCAAGGTCTTGACCGAGAATGCAAGGCTATAGCCTTCCATTCCTACCTGGCTCTGCTTGTAGTGCCATTGTGTTCGAATAGTCTCGCTGCAGCTTGGAGCGGCTTCTTCCATGCAGGCTAGCAGCTTCACGGTGCTAGCCGGCGCCAGGAGCGGTGGTGGGTGGACGTTTCGAAAAGACCCCATGTCCCAGGTGTCCTCTCCACCGAGGCTTCGCTCACGCACTTGCTCGCACAGCTGCGCATGGCAAGTTGGGAGCAGCTCACATAGGGCGTCCGCGGACGCAAGGACGGCGCCTTCAACCATCGTGCTCACGTTCAGGAGCGAACATCCGTGCAGCTGAGCTGCCCAGGCAGCGGGGCTGTCAACGGCCTCGTACTGCATGACCACGGTGTGCTGCTGTGAGGACGAAAACCCCCACTCCCGGGCCTGCTGGTGGGGCACCACTGTGAACTGGGGAGCGGCCTCCTTCTGGCCCTGGATTGGGGTAATCTGCACCGAAAGGGGTTCATCTCCGAGGGCTGAGCTGTCGTTCGAGCCGTGGTAGGCACCGCAGATGCTGTAGCGCGACCTGATGAGACCGCTCTCCAAGCAGCGCCCGTGCCGTTGCAGGAGCTGCAGGTCTGCCTTAGTGGCTGGAGACCACTCGGACCAGTTGGCGCGGAAGGCCTCAGCGGTCGCTCCTCTCGACTCGACATACCCGCTCTTTCAGTCCATCTCATTTTTCCTATCTCTTTTCTTTCTTTCTTTCTGCAGGGCGTAAGGGTCGCGCAAGCGCCCCCCAGGCTTTCAGCCCGCCCAGCCACACTCTGTGATTATGGAGTGGCTGGTAAAGGGGTCATTCCAGATTTCCTATCTCTCTCTCTCTCGCTCCCTCTCTCCCCTCCCTCCGTTAAGTTCATGAATCCTAGAAGCCCTGTACTCCAAACCCTCCGCATACAAGCCGGAAGCAGCACGAGCCCAGGCACCGGGTCCGGCAGCATCGGCATCACGAGCAAGCGAAGCGTGTCAAAGGCAAGCGGGTCGTACTTCGAGACGGAGATGACCACGTTTCCCTGCAAACCGGGTGTTTAGCTTGAAAGCTTAAACATCCCACCAAAACCTCTGCCGCCACCCTTCAAACTCAAGAGATCGTCAGGGAACCCAACTCTCTGTTCGCGCCTGCACGTCCAGGGAGCTCTCGGTCTTCAGCACGAAGCTGCCGCTGGCGTTCTGCCCTACGAGCATGGCCATCGCGTCGCTTGGAGGTGGCGTCCCCTGCCTGAAAAAGATGGGCGTGGCCTCCGCCTCGAACTTTTGGCCTCCCGTCTCCAGCTCCAATGCGAAGCTGAGGGTAGCGAGGTGGAAGGCCCAGTCTGGCTGCACTCTGCCGAAGGGGAGCTGGAGTTGGCCTGGCTTCATCTCCACGGCGTCGCTGCACTGCGTCTTGCCTCGCTTGGCCTCCTCTGCCTCTCCAGCGGCTCGCACCTCCAGCCGACACCCGCTCAAGCGGCCCGTGAGATTCTGCTCTGCAGCCTTGACTGAGCTTGGAAGATTCAGAGGTCGCCCGATTCCAACGCCTTCCTGTCGGCAAGGACCGCGTAACAGCCACCTGGTCCGACGTAGGACTCCAGGCATGCCAGGTCGTGGCCACAGTCCGCAGAGCAGCTCTGCTCCGTCGCATTCGGGCGGTCCCGGTAAGTCGTCCAAAGCTGACCCAGAGCAGCGGGTCCCTGGCTGCGGGGCCTCGGGAGGCCCAGGAGGAAGTCGGCGAGCTGCACTTCGAAGCGAAAGTCTTGGACACCTCAGGGAGACGAGCAAAAGCCCCCCTGCCTTTCGAATACGCCCTAAGCTTCATGTAAACATGATCATGTGATCGCACCTGCCTTCTGGGATGCTGAAGACCGATCCGGGCAAGGAAGACCAGGCGATGGTTCTCTGGAAATCCTGGGCGGTGATCCGGAAGGATGCCGGCATTGTGGCTGACGGCGAGAAGCGCACTTCGTAAGTGGTTTCGGGCCGAGAAGGACGGAGGCCCTGGACGCGGATGGTGGCCACGCGCGGAACTTGCCTGTGCGACAGCTGGATCTCTTCGACCGCCACGCTCTGCTTCTCCTCAACCGCAATGACTCGGGGGCTGGAAGGCGGCATGCTCGTAGCTTGCGGCTGGGCGATGGACATAAGGCGGGTGGCAGAGGGGCGGACACTGGCAACCAGGGCCAATTTCGTGAAGGAGACGTCGCTTGTGACTTCGTACCGGGTCTGCCTTAAAGCCCAAACTCGCAACTTGACATCATGATTTGTATTCCCCCATGTGGACAAAACAGGCTTTTGCGAGCCAAGCCGCCAGGGGAGGAACTCCAGGGAGTGCAAGGAGCTGGCCAGCTTCAGGTCCGCGAGCTCCCCGACCGAACAGGCATAGGCCGTCATGTGCCCGGCGGAGACGCAGCACGAGAACGCCACCAGGGCCAGGAAGGCTGGCAACACGAGGAAGCCGGCTCGGGAGCGGCTCAAGAAACGTAGCAGGGGCCCCTGCCGAGCCACGGATGTCAAGCTCCATCTGCGGGACGATGCAGTCGAGGAAGGCAACGTGGATCCGGTGCCGGAGTCCGACTCCAAGAGCTTGCGAAGCTCCTGCGAGTCTCCGGCTCTTGCCACATATGGCTGGCGTTCATCCACGAGACACACATGTCCTCACCATCGTCAGCATCATCACCAGCAGCAGCAATACCAGAATCATCATCGTCATCGTCGCACTCACCACATAACCATCCACGTCGTCATCATCATCATCATCATCATCATCATCATGATCATCATCATCGTCGTAGTCTCCACTGTGCAGCACCATCACGAAAAGGAGATAGCAGGATCTGAGAGTAGGCGGAGGAGGAAGCTCTGCTGCTCTTGCTGCAGTAGTTCTTGCTGCTGTCTGAAGGTGGCAAGTGCGTGCTGCTACTCCACGTGAACTGCTCTCTGTGCGACAAGCACGGGGTCCTGCGGTTCCTTGAGCGCCAGCAGCGTGGCCCAGGGCAGTGGCTTCATTTTGAGCTTTTCCGTGCCGGCTACCAGGCACGAAGAGCCCATCTCCACGATCTCGAGACTATTGTCTAAGTCGCGTGCAGTGCTAACGGCCTTGAGGACGGTCCACAATGCGCTGCCCAGAGCTGTCAAGGCGACCACCAGTGTCTGCAGGTCGATGCTTACGAGGTAGAGGATGAAGAGGAAGTACGCCAGGATTGCGACCACGAGCACGGCGTCGAGGATAACGTCATCCGGCAAATCGGTGATGATCACATCCCACTTCAGGAACGCGTGCACCAACTGCTTCTTCACGAGAAGCTGCGACAGGCGCAGGGCAGCTGCAAGCGCCAACACGGCAGGGCAGACTGCGACGATCCACACGGGGGCCTGCCGCAGGGTTTCGTGGGAACTAATGAGAGGAGCTCGAAGCGGCTTCCTGCGGCTCTCACTTTCTGAAAGCACGGGCCTCCTCTTCGGAGGACTTCCGGACCACTGCCAAGGCTCCCGTCTGCAAGGCCATCAGGGAGAGGAGAAAGCCGGCTGCCCAGGAGTAGCTGCTGAGGAAGTTCTGCATGGGGCTCTTCACCCTGACGAAACTCTGATTCAGCGTCGCCGGCTCGGGCTCCTCCAGCTTCTCGCTTGCCGCAGACATGCACAGCATCCAGACGGACACCCCAAGAATCAGCACGAGGCTTGCCAGCACCGTGCCTCAGCTTCAAGCCGACGGCTGTGGGAAGCACGACACCACAGCCGACATTTCACTAAAGAAAAGAAGTGGAGCTATCCTCGCCCAGGCGCCAGCCAGGAGGTCCGGCACCCCCTCCGGGCAGTTCTCCATAGAGATCCTTTCGGCATTCGCTTGCAATGCGGGAACTTCGGACACTTCCACACGTCAGGACAACTGCTTGCAGCCGAGCCGCTGCAGCGCCTGCGCTTTCTTGGAGTGGGGGAGTGCCGCCAACATGCGTCCCAGCACCTCGCGATTGGCACGAAGAGGGGTGGCGGGGTTGGAGACGGGCTTGCTAACACCGCCCCTCAGCCTCAATGTCCGGGCCTCTTTCATCCTCTTTCATCGCAACCCTAGAAACCCCATGAGCTGCTCGGGCAGAAGCGCAACAAGCCCTTAAGCTCTTGAATTGCAACTACCTTATGGCCCTGACAAGTAACCTCCCGTCTATCAACGCCAGAAACACTACTCTGGCCGAGCAACGCCCAGCGGCCGTTCGCCACTCAGCTTGCAAACGCAAAGGGCATCGTCGCTCCTCATTCAACCCAAAAAGCAAGTGCAGCGCGGTCATGCTCGCCCGTGGCACAAAAAGCGTTCAAATCCTCTTTCAACCGACATGCACTCGTGCATCTATCGAGAAATCAATTGAGGAGCACCGCGTCTTCGAGACGTGGCTGCCAAGCGGCTGAGCTGCACAGAGCTTGGCTTTGTCCGACGTCGCACGAATCTTGTTAATAAGGACGGGGTCTACGAAGATTGCCACGAAGGAGCCATTCACCGGGTCCTTCCGGCAGGACTGAATCGCACATTATGATGTTTATTTCCTATCATCAACCCTTGTCCTTTGGTGGATGCCATTGTGCCATGCTGCTTCAAGGAACCCCCCGCCCTGCGTAGGCCCTTCTCCAGTCCTTGGCGTCGATCCAGGGCACCACGTTGGCCTTTGGGCTGGAATCGGCCGAGGCATCTGCACAGTTGGCGCTCACGAAGTACCTCGGCTGCCCAACTCCCTTTCGAAAGCCTCCATAAAGATCGAAGCCTCAAAGCTTCCTACACCCCGAAACCGTAAAACCAACAACAAACCCCTACAAGTATATAAGCCCGAGCTGCTTGGCCTTCCCAAGGCTCCTGGCGGCTTCTCCGTGCAGCTCGTAGGAACCACTGCGGCCCGAAGGCGATGTGCAGATCTCTGGGCACTCCTCCTGGAAGGTCCTGAGAGCTGATTGAAGGTCCAGGGCCAGGCTTCTCCCCGTTTCGGACTGAGACTGAGAGCTGTTAGTTTCGGGGTTCAGCCTTCTCTGCCGGATGAAAAGCCACAGCACCCTTCTTCTTTCGGCAAGTGAAAATGACAAGGTTTGCTGTTGAATTTAAGCTGAGGGGGAGAAGCTTTTGAAACACTTGTGTGCCGAGCATCGTAAGCGTGCGGAAGTCGAGGTCTGAGTCGCGAAGGGAATCAATGCAGGTCAATTCGAGGATCAGGGCAAAATGCCACGAGATCCGATATGGAATCCATTTTGCATCCATCTATATCTCTATCATTTTGAGCCGCGGACGGCTATTCGGGCTCCCGCATGGCAGACCAAGCTCAACCACGGCAAGGTCCAAGACATAAGATTTAGGCAAACAATCCTCGGCGTCCCTTCTTGTCTGCATCGGAAAACGTGCGGGCAGACAGCGCCTGCTTGGCGTCCCTTCTGGCCCGATGCCGCAGGCAGAAGCAGCCTCAAGCAGAGCAAATGTTGCTTGCTTTGATGTTGATGGGTGGAACGATGACAGCAAAAGCCAAACTACGATGAGGCACGAGAAAAGGCGACGTCGTCAGCGTCAGCTCTGCAGCGCACATGTCTTTGCTCGAGCGTGTCCCATGCTCTGCAGGCTAGTGGCTGTGGGATTCTCTGCGCATGAACTTAGGCCCCGGCCAAGCTTGTCGCGTTGCTGGATTCAAGTTCCTTCCTTCCCACTCCGCGCGCTTCCGACCTGCCAAGTCCGAGATGCGCTCGCACTTGGCAGTGGCACCATTTCCACAGGTCCGCGCATTTGGGGAGAGCTACCGGAGCTGCTGGAAGGGCGTATCTGTGGGTGATCTTTGGGGTGTTCGTCAAAACAGGCGCTCTGAAAAGGATCGGGAACCAAATCTCCTCCCGTGCTGGTGGCTCGGCCTGGCAGCGAAGAGGAAATGCCGCATATGGTAGAGCCACCTAGGTTCTGCTTCCCTTCAGGTGACGTGCCATGTCGGACGGACAGGGAAAGCTTCTGCTTGGATCCGTATATATACAATGAATTGCAAGGCTGCATCAGCCTCTAAGCTCACACATTTACTTCTCAATTGCTTCAGGCTGTTTCGAGCGGCTTGCGCGTCTTTTTGATGCCTTTCTTTACTGCTCAAACCTCTTTCCAGCAGTTTAGTCCCAGTTATCTGACCCCTTGCTCCAATTCCTTTTGACAAAGTTGTTCGTTGTTCTCGCCTTCTCCAGTCCTGATCGAGCGGTTGCCCCTCTTTCGCAAACTCCCTTGTCTCAGATGTTAAAATTCCTCTCGAGCCCTCTAGCCTGAGATTTGTGATCACAACCACCGGCCTTGCCTCTAGGCAAGTCATCATGATCACGAGTCGTCAGGACGTGCTGCTTCTGCCCGGGCAGCTTGTCCTCACGAAACCGCGCACACTGAGATCCTGGGCCCTGAATTTAAGGATGCACCAGACGAACGGCGTGACAAACGGTGCAGACTGCCGCATGTGGATGTAAACCCTGAAACCCCAAATCTAAACTCTAAGACCCTGCAGCCTCAGACCCTTGCTAAACATCCTAATCCGAAAAGCCCCAAACCCTGAAACCGTCCTGCACATCTGAGTCAAGGCAAGCCAGAGGTGAAGGGAACGCCGAAACAGGCGGATGCCTCAAAGCAATTCTGGCGCTGTGGGGCTTCAGGGTTTAGGGGCGACTTTAAGGCGTTGGGGTCGGGCTTCGGGCTTGCCGCTCACCCTTTCTCTCGAAACGACCGTCGTGGCGAGATACCTGCGAAGCCCTAGCTCGACCTGAGGCGATGCTTCGGAGAAGGGCGACTTGAAACGCCTCAGCCTCACGCAGGTCCGAGCCCTGAAGAACCTGAAGAGACCCTCTACTGCAGAGTTGCGGAGAGTTCAGACTGCCGAGTTGGGAAGACATCAAACCCTAAAGCTAACGGGAGTTTAAAAGGGAGAAGGGCATGCACTTGGAGGAGCTTGATGGAGTGAAGTCACAGCGGTGTCGGGTCGACGTGTACATGCAGTGGCGTGGGGTCAAGGGAAACATGCCAAGACCTCCAGGTTCCCAGTTCCCCCTCCAGAAAGTCACCCTTTCTTCATAAGGGTTTAGGGTCCAGGATGTGCACTACCGATTCTCTGAATCGCTCACCCTCCATATCCACCTTCTGCTGCAGACGGCTGAAGATTGGATCTCGGCTTCGGCCTTCGTTGTTGGTCTAAGGGCCTTCATGACTGGGAAAATTTTGGGAGGCGGACATTATCGTCACCATATGGGGGGCTGCAAAGCGCCATGTAAATTAACGTGTTCAGACCTCTGTTTCTCCACTTGGGCGGTTGTCAAGATTATGGACCCTTTTTTGGGTACCTAAATATTAGGTGCCGTATTATCATAAGGACCCAAAGCGGGACCCTAATATTCACAACCACCTACTTAAAGTAACGCTTGGCGCTTCAAACGCTGAGGGTTTGGCGTTCGAGGCTGCCGGGCCGAGGCGTAGGGTTTAAGGTTAGCTGGGTTTCGGGCCTAGGGCCTTGGGTTTAGGGCTTAGGGTTTAGGGCTTAGGGTTTAGGGCTTAGGGTTTAGGGTTTAGGGTTTGGGGTTTAGGGTTTGGGGCTTAGGGTTTTAGGGTTTAGGGTTTGGTCTCGGAGTGTCTTGGAGTTGAATTTATTGAGCACTTTGAGGCTTCCCAAGCTGCGTCCAACACATTCCCAAGCACCGGAAGTCATCAAGGACAACAATGAGCCCTGAATGATTAGAATGGGGAATAGGGATCCTCTATCGCAACAAGAAGACTCTACCGGAATGTTGTTGCAAAGTTTTTCAGCCCCTCATACCAGGGTTCTAGCATACCCACTTCATCAAAGCAGTCAGGCTGCTCCATTCCCCTGAAACAGGTGGCGGCATGATTGAACCCTTTGCCCCTGCAGCTCCGAAGCCGAAACCCGAAATGCCCAGAACCCACCACCGACCGACCCTGAACCCCAAACCCTAAGGCCCTAAAACCGCAACGCCCCAAAGAACCATGGGGACTAAATGGGAATGAGGCTTGAGCTCTTTCGCTTTGCACCCTCGAAGATGACATAAATGTGTTAAGCCCTTAAGCTGCGAATCGAATAAAAAACACGCCCTGAAGTCGGTTTAGGATTTAGCTCTGGGCGAGCCTGAAAGTTGAATAAATCCAAAGTGCCATGTGGATGTGTAGTGCAGCGTCGCGGTGATACTGACGACGACCCCCCCGAAGCGAGAGGACTTCCTGGGTGTGGAGGCGTAAAGACCAGACGTTCATAGGTTCAGGGCTCTTAAGTTTGGCGTTTCGGCGGCCTAATGTCTATTCTTCAAGGATGCAAATGCGTCGGCTTTCTCGTTTCATTACACTACAGCTGAGTAGCTTCTCTGCATGCTGCCTGTCCGAGGCTGAGCGTTGCCCAGCACATGTGAGAAAAATGAAACCGATCTGTAAGATGGAAAGTCGAACCGAAAGGTAAACCCTAAACCCTAAACCTTAACCGAGCACCGTACCGTCGCTGGTGTGAAGTGTTCGATGATCTCGTTCACACAGCGACGCAATGCATTCTGGTTGAAAGCCGCTTCGCGGATGTTTGCTTTATTTGCTGGAACCCTATTTTGCGGTATGTTTTGTTCAGAGTAGCTTACATAAGCTGAAGTGCCGCCCGCTGCTTTTGGTGAACGCTTCGGATGTAGGCCAAGGACCCAGGATGTTTGGAGATGACCTGAGCCCTTCGACTCCCTTTTGTCTGCCCTCCATTACGAGGTTTTCACAAGTGCTTTTGATATGATACAATACAGAACAACACAATACAATATCATATACTATGCCACCATATGATGTACTCAAAAGACGACGAGTTATAAACTGCATCGCTTGTCGAGTGTCAGTGGCTCGAAGGCGCTGCGGCGCATGTCGAAAGCGCCCCGCGTGTCGATCCTTTGACGGCACTCTCCGCTTCGAGGGCTGTCTTTCCAGTCATGGGAACTCCGCAAACCTCTACTATATGAGGTTGTGAGTTATACTACACTAAATGTTAACAGGGAACCCTCAGGAATGATGTTGGTAAGTATACTTAGGCTGCTGTATGCGACCCAAAGTTCCCACGCCAAAAATGCAAGAACCCTCAAAATCAAACACGAAGAAGAAAAGCTCGCTTGAACCCCAAGACCTGAACAACTGTAAACCTAAGCTTGCTTGATACCACAGCCATGACCCCAAATCACTTTTTGGCCGATAATGCCCAAAAATCAGGATCTCCCCGGCCCGGTGAGGCAAGGTGCCATGACGGCCTTGAAGCCCTTGCTGGAGATCTCCTCGGCTTCCGCAAAAGAAATTCCCTGCTGCCGCGTTCCTCGCATCTGCGGATGTGGTCTCATGGGTTTCGGGCTGAGGGTTCAGGGCTTTAGGGTTGGGGTTTGGGAGGTTGGGTGTCTTGTAGACGACGATGGTTCTCATGAAGTGTTGTTAGGTTCTGGCTTGGGATGCAGGTGATCGCAGGTGTCAGGATCCAAAACCTCAGGTTTAGGGTTTAAGGCTTCGGGTTCTTGTGTCTGCAGGACTTATATAGGAATTCAGCATTTCTGCCAAAACAAGCCGGGGTGCACGAGAACGTCGAGACCGCCGAAGGTTTCAACCGCCACCTTCCTCGCGGCGATTCAGTGCCAAATTTCTGGGCTTAGGGCGGGGGGCTTGGCGGTGAATGTTTAGGGTTGGGGTTATGTGCCATCTCGGGTTGTGAAATCAAGAATGCTGAAACCTCAAACCTCGTCGGAATCTCCGGCAGATGGCCTCAAACGCGCTTCACCTGCTCTCATCCCCAAATCCCGAAATGCAGCCGCAGCCCTTGATTCTCAGTATAGGGTTAACCCTGAACCCAGAACCCACCCCTTCATTTCTTTTGAGGGCACAAGCCCGAAGCCTTCTGTAACCCAGTTCCCCTCCATCGCATTCCAAGTCTCACGGCGGTCTCGCAGTCCTCCTCGGCAGCTCGGAACTGTGTGAAGGTGGGCACGTGCTTGGGCTCATAGGGCTTAAGAGGCGTCCTTGAGGATTTGGGTTTTAGGGTTTGGGGCACCATAATTTTCGCCCGACCACGAAGGTCACAAAACCGAACCTTGCCACTCGCAAGCACAAGCCCTGACTGCTTTCGTTCCCTCCCCTTTGACCCAAATTAAGCCCGCGCCTTAATTGGATGTACAGCATAGCAAACCTGCTCAAAGTCTTACAACACATCCTTAGATGTATAGCATGGCATAGCAAACATGTTAAATGTTTTAAAAATACCCAGTTCTGGTCCATTGCCGGGCGACTGGATTTCGGACGTCGCCAGCCGCAGTTGCCACTTTGATTCCTTGGAACCAATCGGTTCGGATGGTTCGAGTTGAGTGCTTCTTTGAAGGGCTCGGATTCGGTTCGGGGCACGTCTGTGCTCCTCGGGTCAGGAACTCAGGACTACCGAAACGGATGATTCCTCAGGCAGGAGCTTAAGCAAGCCTGCGTCTGAAACACTGAAAAGACCCCCCCAAGCAAGGTCCAATGCGAAACCATATAGAACTGCGTATCTAACCCCAGACCGCTGGGCGCCTTCCCCGGCGAGCAGAGCAGATGCCTGCTGCAAGAACTCAGGCCTGCTCTCACAGGCGGCTTTAGCGGCTTCGGGGTTTGGGGGCCTTCCGCAATCTTTTCGGCGTGTTGGGTATATACAGGGTCTTGGGGTCTTGGGGTTAGGGCGTTTGGGGCGCGACAAGTGGCGTCTTTCGGGACTTCGGGGCTTTGCTTTGGGGTTCTGGCTTTTCCAGGTTTTGCTGAGGGCTTTAGGACTTTAGGGGTCCGTTTCAGAAAATGCTCAGGCTTCAGACCTCAGTGGCTTTTGGAGGGCTTTGTTTCGGCTTCGTGGCTTACGGTTCAGAGTTCCAGGCCTCCCTCCGGATGAAAGTTCCCGTCCTGCGGAAGACACCTGACAACTCCTGGATTCCCGTGTCCAGGCATCACTCTTCCACCCCTTGAGCTTTCAGGCTTGCGTCCTGAACTCGAAACCCTGAACCCTGCAAGCCCTAAACCCTACGGTAGGACCGTTAAGCCCTGAGCTCTGTAAGGCTAATCATCAAGGCCTCCATACCGTATTTACAAGGATTTCAAACCCGTGCCACCTGCGTCCGACGAGCACGACGCCTGCACAGCCATGCAGGCCGAACTGGCGTGCGACCTGGCGCCGCAGTTTTTCTATGTTCCGTCGTGGTTCCAAAATAAAGAGTTGGAGTTTGAGGGTTTGAGGGCCTGTGCAATCAGGCTCGGCGACAAAGACGTGAAGCAATGTATGAGATCCAGGCTGCAGGCCGCCCACAAACCCTCACACTTCCTATAATTGCATGGGAGTCCTCGGATCTGCGACCGAACGTCGGATTTGCGCAATTTGAGACTTTGCGAACCCAACTAAGGCTTGAAGACTCAAATTCCGCACGACCCCTCGGCACCCCAAACCCCCCCACGAAAGCTCTTTGCCTTCTAAATCCCAAGCCTCGAAACCGATGCCGCTGCCGCCGCCAGTGACCAAAGCCACACGGCCGGCGAGGACATCCTGGCGCTTTGCGCAGGGTGAGCAAGGAGGCTTGACGGTTCAGCGCTCTTCATGTCTTTTGGGTTTAGGGGTTCAGGGCTCAGGGCATTCAGAAGACGACAACACCGACCATCCGTGCTTGAGCAGGCTTACATGTGAAGCCGTTGGAAGTGCTTTCGGGGCCCAGGAAGTTTCGTCACGGCAGCTCCTCACGGAAGTAGCTCGCGTCTGCTGGGGCCGTCATGGCTCGACAGCAGCACGAAAAAGGTGTTGGGAAATGGAGTCGGACTTCGCGCTCAGGGGAGAGAGTGTGGGGGCGCTGTTGGCGAATCCGAGACTTGCTGGTACTGCAAGAAAGCTTCAAAAATTCACATGAGGGTGCGGAATTTGAAGCTTGGACTCTTGAGCGGAACAACGCTCCGATCTGCTTGAGCGACATGGTGAGAGTCCCGAGCTTTCCAATCACAGCCCGCGCAGTACGGACGTACTACATCATGCTAACCCACAACCTGAGAGCCTGAAGTCCTTTCCTCGCGTATAGCCACCTGGTCCCGATGCAGAAGCTCCCTAATCCCTGGAGCATCGACAAGCTAGAATCAGCTAGAAAACAGAAGTCAGAGGGACCGTGGATGGTTACCGCAACCGGAAAAATGCAGTTGGGTTGCGCACATGTTACCACAACGACGGAAGTTTAGAGGCTCAGGGTTTGCTTCCGCGTGGTATGGAAAAAAGCTGCAGGCTCCCGAGCAACCGGCACGAGCCGCTTTTCCTGCCGATGTTGCACATCTTCGTCCCATCCTGCGCGAGCCTGGAGGCGAGAGGTGTCACACAACCCTCGCACTTCCACAGTCCCACCGCCAAAGACCGAAGCTGAAACAACCAGCTCTGGCTTCGGTGGATGTTCGAGTGCTGGTGGTGGGGAGGTACAGGTGACAAGAAACGCTCTCCGAGAGTACTCCGCTCAGAACCGACGGTTCGAAGTCTCCTAGAACCCTAAACCCCAAACCCTAAGCCCTAAACCCTAAGAATCCTCTGATCCGCGTAGGCAAGGCTCAGAACCTGGTCTTCTGCACGAACGTAAACCCCCAAAATCTGCTAAAGCAACCCCCTCTGCAGAACTGTGCCCTACATACTAATTGCTTTGAAGGAAAGATACTTTGCGGGGGTGGGGGTGAAAGCTTGAGTGCGTATCGATGTTGCTTCTGCCTCATAACTACTGAGCCTCGAAGCCACTCAAAGGCCATGAGACCCAGAAGATCCAAGAAAAAAATGCTGAGCCTCCTCGACTCCTGGTTCGAAACTCCCCCGCCCAGCAAAACCTTCAAACAACTCCCTTTTTGCAGCCTGAGGACCTGACGGGTAACGGCCCACTCTCGGAGCCCTTGGTCGAGGCTTCCCCCGACTTCCGGCCTGCTACAGAGCATTGGGCAGACACCGCTTCCCATTTCAAAGAGCTTCGCGGGATAGAAGTGGCAACTTTGGAAGAGACGATGCGGCTCTCAGGCCTGTGAGGGACCCAAGCTCAACGAACCAGGGAGGCACGCAGCCATCAGCTCTTTTTTGGCTCTTCAGCGCACGTTGCCGAATCAAATGTCGCATTCCACTCCCTCTTCCTTGCAGATCGCTGGGGGGGTTTGCAGCGGGTTGCCCTCCAGATCCAACTTCTTCAGCCCTTTGAGCCCCTGGAAAGCGTTGGGCTGGAGGCTCTGGAGGTGGTTGCTGGCCAGACCCAACCCCTTCAGCTCTTTGAGCCCCTGGAACGCGCCGGACTGCAGGCTCTGGAGTTGGTTGTTGAACAGACGCAACCCCTTCAGCTTTCCGAGGCTTCCGAAGGCCTGATCTCGAAGAGTCCAGAGCCGGAAGCGGGTGAGCACCAACGCCTCGAGAGCGCTGAGGCGCTCGAAGGACCGCAGAGTTTCGGGCTCCGGGATTTGGCGGTCCGCCGGGCACAGGAGGCAGGAGATCTCGAGCTCTCGCAGCTTCGGCACGAGCTGCGCCAGCACGCCCAGCTGCCCGAGCTGGGCCGCATCCTCCAGGGACACCTCCAGCTCCGTCAGGTCGGCGAAGGCCGCCTGCGCACACACGCGACTGATCAGCGCGCCTGTTTCTTGCTGCCGCACAGCGACCCTCCGACGTCGTCAGCCGTAAATCCCCGAACACTCCAAAATCAAGGGGGGTTGACAACATGATGGTCATTCATGGATGGATGATGGCATGCAACTTCGGAATCAGCGGCATTCAGAAAGCCAGCTTCGCACGATGGCGCATGGTGAGTTCAGGGAGGGGGCTAGTTCAGGAATCCTTCGATGCAGGAGGAAACCTTCTATATGCAAGGACGAGGGCCTTCGAAGACTTGACATCTTGGTGTATCCTTTCCGACTATTCTGATTCGAGAGCCCCAGAGTCAGTCGGCTGCATGCTGGACATGTGGGGTGAAGCGCACGCACACTGTGCCTCAGAAGACATGCACTGTGTGCGACACCGCGCAACCCAAAGAGCAAGAAACAGAGAAAGAGAGAGAGAGAGAGAGATAGAAAAAACAACTGCGAATAGCACAACGATGTACGGAGCTGCACCTGCGGCGTCACGGGTGGCATCGTGCCCAAGGGGCTCTTCACCAGAGCTTCTGCCAGGCGCTGGGGCATTTTCTCGTCCAGGACTGCCAGTGTGGCGAGAAGGTCACCTGACGGCTCCGGCAGTCGCCAAACCTCGCGCACAGTGTCCTTATCGAATCGCTCGGCTTCCTCTTGCGTCAGGTTCCTTCGGATCTCCTTCAGCAAGCTCAGCGCGGTGCCGTTGCTCGCTTGCTCCAGCAAGGTCTTCATGGAGAATATCAGGCTGTAGCCTTTCATGCCTACCTTGCTCTGCTTGTAGTGCCATGCCGTTCGAAGGCTCTCGCTGCAGCTTGGAGCTGCCGCTTCCACGCAGGCTAGCAGCTTCACGCTGCCAGCTGGTGACAGCAGGGGAGGTGGGTGGATGTATCGTCCTGTTCCGTAATCCCATGTTGCCCTGCCACCGAGGCTTTGCACACGCACTTGCACGCACAGCTGCGCATGGCAAGTTGGGAGCAGCTCGCATAGCGCATCAGAAGACGAAAGGACGGCGCCTTCGGCTATGGTGCTCACGTTCAGGAGCGAACATCCGTGCAGCTGAGCTGCCCAGGCAGCGGGGCTATCAACGGCCTCGTACTGCATGAGCACGGTGCGTGGTTGTGAGCGCGAGAAAGCCCACCGTCGCGCCTTCTGGCGGACCACCACTGTGAACTGGGGAGCGGCCTCCATCTGGCCCTGGATTGGGTTAATCTGCACGGCAAGTGGCTGATCTCCGAGGGCTGAGCCGTGGTTGGTGGCGTGGTAGGCACCACAGATGCTATAGCGCCACCTGATCAACCCGCTCTCCAAGCAGCGCCCGTGCCGTTGCAGGAGCTGCAGGTCTGCCTTAGTGGCTGGAGACCACTCGGACCAGTTGGCTCGGAAGGCCTCAGCGGTCGCCCCTTTCTACTGGACGGCACGGCTCTCTCAGTCCCTCTCATTTTCCCTATCTCTGTCTCTCTCTCCCCCCTCCCTCCGTTAAATCCATGAATCCTAGAAGCCCTCTACCCCAAACCCTCCGCATACAAGCCGGAAGTAGCACGAGCCCAGGCGCGGGGTCCGGCAGCATCGGCATCACGAGCAAGCGAAGCGTGTCAAAGGCAAGCGGGTCGTACTTCGAGACGGAGATGACCACGTTTCCCTGCAAACCGGGTGTTTAGCAGGAAAGCTTAAACATCCCACAAAAAACCTCTGCCGCCACCCTTCAACTTTCAGAGATCGTCAGGGAACCCAACTCTCTGTTCGCGCCTGCACGTCCAGGGAGCTCTCGGTCTTCAGCACGAAGCTGCCGCTGGCGTTGTGTCCTACGAGCATGGCCATCGCGTCGCTTGGAGGTGGCGTCCCTTGCCTGAAAAAGATGGGCGTGGCCTCGGCCTCGAACTTTTGGCCTCCCGTCTCCAGCTTCAAAGCAAAGCTGAGGGTAGCGAGGCGGAAGGCCCAGTCTGGCTGCACTCTGCCGAAGGGGAGCTGGAGTTGGCCTGGCTTCATCTCCACGTCGTCCCTGCACTGAGTCGTCTTGCCTCGCTTGGCCTCCTCTGCCTCTCCAGCGGCTCGCACCTCCTCCAGCCGACACCCGCTCAAGCGGCCCGTGAGATTCTGCTCTGCAGCCTTGACTGAGCTTGGAAGATTCTCGGAGAGGTCGCCCGACTCCAACCCCTTCCTGTCGGCAAGCACCGCGTAGCAGCCACCTGGTCCGACGTAGGACTCCAGGCATGCCAGGTCATGGGCGCAATCCGCTGAGCAGCTCTCCTCCGTCGCATTCGGGCGGTCCCAGTAAGTCGTCCAAAGCTGCCCCACAGCAGCGGGTCCGTGGCTGCGGGGCCTCGGGAAGCCCAGGAGGAAGTCGGCGAGCTGCACTTCGACGCGAAAGTCTTGGAGACCTCACGGAGACCAGCAAAAGCGCCCCTGCCTTTAGAATACACTACACCTCTAAGCTCTTGAGAAACCCATGATGATGATCGCGCTGGCCTTCTGGGATGCTGAAGACCGATCCGGGCAAGGAAGACCAGGCGATGGTTCTCTGGAACTCCTGGGCGGTGATCCGGAGGGCTGCCGGCATCGTCGCCGATGGCGAGAAGCGCACTTCATACGTGGTTTCGGGCCGAGAAGGACGGAGGCCCTGGACGCGGATGGTGGCCACGCGCGGAACTTGCCTGTGCGACAGCTGGATCTCTTCGACCGCCACGCTCTGCTTCTCCTCAACCGCAATGACTCGGGGGCTGGAAGGCGGCATGCTCGTAGCTTGCGGCTGGGCGATGGACATAAGGCGGGTGGCAGAGGGGCGGACACTGGCAACCAGGGCCAATTTCGTGAAGGACACGTCGCTTGTGACTTCGTACCGGGTCTGCCTCAGAGCCCAAACTCGCAACTTGACATCATAATTTGTATTCGCCCATTTGGACAAACCAGGCTTTTGCGAGCCAAGCCGCCAGGGGAGGAACTCCAGGGAGTGCAAGGAGCTGGCCAGCTTCAGGTCCGCGAGCTCCCCGACCGAACACGCGTAGGCCGTCATGTGCCCGGCGGAGATGCAGCACGAGAATGCCACCAGGGCCAGGAAGGCTGGCAACACGAGGAAGCCGGCTCGGGAGCGGCTCAAGAAACGGAGCAGGGGCCCCTGCCGAGCCACGGATGTCAAGCTCCATCTGCGGGACGATGCAGTCGAGGAAGGCAACGTGGATCCGGTGCTGGGGGAGTCCGACTCCAAGAGCTTGCGAAGCTCCTGCGAGTCTCCGGCTCGTGCCGCACGTGACTGCATTCATCCAGGAGAAACACATGTCGTCACCATCGTCAGCATCATCACCTCCAGCAGCAATATCAGAATCATCATCGTCATCGTCGCACTCACCATACCCATCCACATCATCATCATCATCATCATCATCATCATCATCATCATCATCATCATCTTCGTCGTCTCCACTGCGCAGCACCATCACGAAAAGGAGATGGCAGGATCTGAGAGGAGCAGGAGGAGGAGGAGGAGGAGGAGGAGGAGGAGGAGGCTGCGGCTGCTGCTGCTGCTGCTGCTGCTGCTGCTGCTGCTGCTGCTGCTGCATCTTGCTGTAGTAGTTCTTGCTCCTGTCTGAAGGTGCTGGCAAGTGTGTGCTGCTACTCCACGTGAACTGCTCTCTGTGCGACAAGCACGGGGTCCTGCGGTTCCTTGAGAGCCAGCAGCGTGGCCCAGGGCAGTGGCTTCATTTCGAGCCTTACCGTGCCGGCTACCAGGCACGAAGAGCCCATCTCCACGGTCTCGAGACTATTGTCCAGGTCCCGCGCAGTGCTCACGGCCTTGAGGACGGTCCACAATGCGCTGCCCAGAGCTGTCAAGGCGACCACCAGTGTCTGCAGGTCGATGCTTACGAGGTAGAGGATGAAGAGGAAGTACGCCAGGATTGCGACCACGAGCACGGCGTCGAGGATAACGTCATCCGGCAAATCGGTGATGATCACGTCCCACTTCAGGAACGCGTGCACCAACTGCTTCTTCACGAGAAGCTGCGACAGGCGCAGGGCAGCCGCAAGCGCCAGGGCGGCAGGGCAGGCTGCGACGATCCACACGGGGGCCTGCCGCAGGGTTTCGTGGGAACTAATGAGAGGAGCTCGAAGCGGCTTCCTGCGGCTCTCACTTTCTGAAAGCACGGGCCTCCTCTTCGGAGGACTTCCGGACCACTGCCAAGGCTCCCGTCTGCAAGGCCATCAAGGAGAGGAGAAAGCCGGCTGCCCAGGAGTAGCTGCTGAGGAAGTTCTGCATCGGGCTCTTCACCCTGACAAAACTCTGATTTAGCGTCGCCGGCTTGGGTTCCTCCAGCTTCTCGCTTGCCGCAGACATGCACACCATCCGGACGGACACCCCAAGAATCAGCACGAGGCTTGCCAGCACCGTGCCTCAGCTTCGTCCCGACGGCTGTGGGAAGCACGACACCACAGCCGACATTTCACTAAAGAAAAGAAGCGAAGCTATCCTCGCCCAGGCGCCAGCCAGGAGGTCCGGCACCCCCTCCGGGCAGTTCTCCATGGAAATCCTTTCGGGCAAGCGCTTGCAGTGCAGGAGCTCCGGACACTTCCACACGTCAGGACAACTGCTCGCAGCCGAGCCGCTGCAGCGCCTGCGCTTTCTTGGAGTGGGGGAGTGCCGCCAACATGCGTCCCAGCACCTCGCGATTGGCACGAAGAGGGGTGGCAGGGTTGGCTTCGGGCTTGCTCCTGAGCTCACCGAATGTGCGCATGTCACGGAAACACCGGCCCACTGTGTCAGCCTCTCAGCCTCAATGCCTCAACGTCCGGGCCTCTTTCATCCTCTTTCATCACAACCCTAGAAGCCCCCTGAGCTGCTCGGGCAGCAGAAGCGCAACAAGCCCTTAAGCGCTTGAATTGAATTGCAACTACCCTGCGGCGCTGCAAAGCAGCATGGCAGGGACCTGGATCCTGACAAAGAACCTCCTGTCTATCAACACCAGAAACACTACTATGGCCGAGCAACGCCCAGCGGCCGTTCACCACTCAGCTTGCAAACGCAATGGGTATCGTCGCTCCTCATTCAATCCAAAAAGCAAGTGCAACGAGGTTATGCTCGCTCGTGGCGCAAAAAAAGGCAAATCCTCTTTCAACCGACATGCACTTGTGCATCTATCGAGAAATCAATTGAGGAGCACCGCGTCTTCGACACGTGGCTGCCAAGCGGCTGAGCTGCACAGAGCTTGGCTTTGTCCGACGTCCCAGCACGCATCTTGTTAATAAGGACGGGGTCTACGAAGACTGCCACGAACGAGCCATTCACCGGGTCCTTCCGGCAAGACTCAATCGCACATGATGAAGTCTAATTATTTCCTATCATCAACCCTTGTCCTTTGGTGGATGCCAATATGCCATGCTGTTTCAAGGAACCACCCGCCCGGCGTCAGCCCTTCTGCGGTCCTCGGCATCGATCCAGGGCACCACGTTGGCCTTTGGGCTAGAATCGGCCGAGGCATCTGCACAGTTGGCGCTCACGAAGTACCTCGGCTGCCCAACTCCCTTTCGAAAGCCTCCATAGATATCGAAACCTCAATCCTTCTAAACCCCTAAACCATAAAACCAACAAGAAACCCTTATAGAAAGTCCGAGCTGCTTGGCCTTCCCAAGGCTTCTGGCGGCTTCTCCGTGCAGCTCGTAGGAACCACTGCGGCCCGAAGGCGAAGTGCAGATCTCTGGGCACTCCTCCTGGGAGGTCCTGAGACTGAGAGCTTTTTAGCTTCGGGGTTCAGTCTTCTCCCGTTGTCGGACTGCGACTGTTCTGCCGAAAAACCATGCCACCCTTCTTTCGGCAAGTGAGAATGACAAGGTTTGCTGCTGAATTTAAGCTGAGGGGGAGAAGCTTTCGAAAAACTTGCGTGCCGAGCATCGTAAGCGTGCGGAAGTCAAAGTCTGAGTCGCGAAGTGAATCAATGCAGGTCAATTCGAGGATCAGGGCAAAATGCCACGAGATCCGATATGGAATCCATTTTGCATCCATCTATATATCTCTATCCTTTGAGCCGAGGACGGCTATTCGGGCTCCCGCATGGCAAACCAAGCTCAACCACGGCAAGGTCCAAGACATAAGAATTAGGCAAACAATCCTCGCCGTCCCTTCCTGTCTGCATCAGGAAGTGTGCGGGCATGCAGCGCCTGCTTGGTGTCCCTTCTGGTCCGATGCCGCAGGCTGAAGCAGCCTCAAGCAGAGCAAATGCAAATTGCTTTGCTGTTGATAGGTAGAACGATGACAGTAAAAAACAAACCACAATGAGGCACGAGAAAAGTCAACGTCTTCAGCGTCAGCGTCAGCTCCGCAGAGCAGATGTCTTCGCTCCAGCGTGTCCCATGCTCTGCAGCTAGTGGCCGTGGGATTCTCTGAGCATGAACTTAGGCCCCGGCCAAGCTTGTCGCGTGGCTGGATTCAAGTTCCTTCCTTCCCACTCCGCGCGCTTTAGACGTGCCTCGTCTGAGATGTGCTCGCGCTTGGCAGTGGCAGCATCTCCCATAGGTCCGTGCATTTGGGGAGAGCTACCGTAGGTGCTGGAAGGGCAGCTCATATCTGTGGCTGGTCTTCAAGGTGTTCGTCATTACAGGCTGCTCTGCGAAGGATCGGGAACCAAAGCTCCTCCCGTGCTGGTGGCTCGGCCTGGCAACGAAGAGGAAATGCCGTAGAGGCTAGAGCCACCTAGGTTCTGCTTCTTTTCAGGTGACATGCCATGTCTTCTGCTTGCATCCCTACAATGACACGCAAGCCTGCATCAGCCTCTAAGCTCACACATTTGGAAGCAGACTTCTCAATTGCTCCAGGCCCTTTCGAGGGGTTTGCTCGTCTTTTTAGCGTTTTTCTTTACTGCTCAAACCCCTTATCCGACCCCTTGCTTCAATCCCGTTTGACAAAGTTTCTCGTTGTGCGCGCCTTCTCGAGTTCTGATCGAGCGGTTCGCCCCTCTTTCGCAAACTCTCTACGCACTTTTGAGTGGTCTGTTCCCTTGTCTCAGATGTCGAAATTCCTCTCGAGCCCTCTGCCTGAGACTTGTGATCACAACGCGCGCATCCACCGGCCTTGCCTCTCTGCAAGTCCTCGACCACGAGTCGTCAGGACGTGCTGCTTCTACCCGCGCAGCTCGTCCTCACAAAACCGCACACACTGAGATCCTGGGCCCTGAGTTTAAGGATGCACCAGACGAACGGCGTGAGAAACGGCGTAGACGGCCACAAGTGGATGTAAACCCTCAAACCCAAAATCTAAACTCTAAGACCCTGAAGCCCTAAACCCTTACTGAATATTCTAATCCGAAAAGCCCCAAACCCTGAAAGCGTCCTGCACATCTGAGTCAAGGCAAGCCAGAGGTGTAGGGAACGCCGAAAAAGGCGGATGCCTCAAAGCAATCTTGAGGGTTCAGGGCTTTGGCGAGTCTGGGGCTTTGGGGTCCCGGCGAGCAGAGCAGATGCGGCTTCGGGTTTCAGGGCTTTCCGCAATCTTTTCGGCGTGTTGGGTAGGGTCTCGGGGTCCTAGGTTAGGGCGTTTGGGCCGCGACAAGTGGCGTCTTTTGGGACGTTTGGGGTGTTCCGGGCTTTGGTTTGGGGTTCTGGATTCTCCAGGTTTTGCTGAGGGCTTTAGGACTTTAGGGGTCCGTTTCAGGAAACGCTCAGGCTTCAGACCTCAGTGGCTTTTGGAGGGTTTGGTTTCGGCTTCGTGGCTTACGGTTCAGAGTTCCAGGCCTCCCTCCGGATGAAAGTTCCCACACCTGACAACTCCTGGATTCCCGTGTCCAGGCATCACTCCTCCACCCCTTGAGCTTTCAGGCTTGCGTCCTAAACTCGAAACCCTGAACCCTGCAAGCCCTAAACCCTACGGTAGGCCCGTTAAGCCAAGGCTAAGCATCAAGGCCTCCATACCGTATTTACAAGGAGTTCGAACCCGTGCCACCTGCGTCCGACGAGCACGACGCCTGCACAGCCATGCAGGCCGAACTGGCGTGCGACCTGGCGCCGCAGTTTTTCTATGTTCCGTCGTGGTTCCAAAATAAAGAGTTGGAGTTTGAGGGTTTGAGGGCCTGTGCAATCACGCTCGGCGACAAAGACGTGGAGCAATGTATGAGATCCAGGCTGCAGGCCGCCCACAAACCCTCACACTTCCTATAATTGCATGGGAGTCCTCGGATCTATGACCGAACGTCGGGTTTGTGGTTTCGGATGATGAGATTTTGCGAACCCAACCAAGGCTTGAAGACTCAAATTCCGCACGACCCCTCGGCACCCCAAACCCGCCCACGAAAGCTCTTTCCTTCTAAATCCCAAGCCTCGAAGCCGATGCCGCTGCCGCCGCCAGTGACCAAAGCCACACGGCCGGCGAGGACATCCTGCTGCTTTGCGCAGGGTGAGCAAGGAGGCTTGACGGTTCAGCGCTCTTCATGTCTTTTGGGTTTAGGGCTCAAGGCATTCAGAAGACGACAACACCGACCACCATCCGTGCCTGAGCAGGCTTACATGTGAAGCCGTTGGAACTGCTTTCGGGGCCCGGGAAATTTCGTCACGGCGGCTCCTCACGGAAGTAGCTCGCATCTGCCGGGGCCGTCATGGCTCAACAGCAGCACGAAGAAGGTTTTGGGAAATGGAGTCGGACTTCGCGCTCAGGGGACAGAGTGTGGGGGCGCTTTCGGGCGTCTTGTGGGAATCCGAGACTTCTGCGACTCGTGTCAGGCAGGTCCGTGTGTCGCCGTGATTTGACTCACGGCTGGTACTGCATGAAAGCTTCAAAGTTCACAGGAGGGTGCAGAATTTGAAGCTTGGAGTCTTGAGCGGAACACGCCGACATGGTGAGAATCCCCAGCCTGTCACAGCCCCAGTATTGCGGACGTAGAACGTCATGCTAACTCACAACCTGCAAGCCAAGATCCTTTCCTCGCCTCGACTCGAGGCACCTCGTCCCTAAGCATGCAGCGCATCTGCTCCCTGATCCGTGTCGACAAGATGGAAAACAGAAGTCTGTGGGGGCCACGGATGGTTACACCGTAAACGGAAAGGACACTGCAATCTACAGTTTGGTTGCAAGTAAGTCTGGGTCAAAAAGTGGTCATGTTACCACAACGACGGGAGTTTAGAGGTTCAGGGTTTGCTTCCGAGTAGTATGGAAAAAAGTCTGCAGACTCCCGAGCAAACGGCATGAGCAGCTTTTCCTGCCGGCGTTGCGCGTCTTCGTCCCATCCTGCGCAAGCCTGGAGGCGAGAGGCGTCACACAACCCTCGCACTTCCAAAGTCCCACCGCCAAAGCCCGAAGCTGAGACAACTAGCTCTGGCTTCAGTGGATGTTCCAGTGCTGGTGGGGAGGTACAGGTGGCAAGAAACGCTCTGTGAGAGGACTCCGCTCAGGACCGAAGGTTCGAAGTCTCCTAGAACACTAAACCCTAAGCCCTAAGCCCTAAACCCTAAGAATCAGAACCTGGTCTTCTGCACGAACGTAAACCCCTAAATCTGCTAAAGCAACCCCCTCTGCAGAACTGTGCCCTACATACTTGTTGCTTTGAAGGAAAGATACTTTGCGGGGGTGGGGGTGAAAGCTTGAGTGCGTATCGATGTTGCTTCTGCCTCACAACTACTGAGCCTCGACGCCACTCAAAGGCCATGAGACCCAGAAGATCCAAGAACAAAACCGCTGAGCCCCCGAGACTCCTGGTTCGAAACTCCCCCGCCCAGCAAAACCTTCAAACGTCTCCCTTTTTGCAGCCTGAGGACCTGACGGGTAACGGCCCACTCTCGGAGCCCTTGGTCGAGGCTTCCCCCGACTTCCGGCCTGCAACAGAGCATTGGGCAGACACCGCTTCCCATTTCAAAGAGATTCGCGGGATAGAAGTGGCAACTTTGGAAGAGACGATGCGGCTCTCAGGCCTGTGAGGGACCCAAGCTCAACGAACCAGGGAGGCACGCAGCCATCAGCTCTTTTTTGGCTCTTCAGCGCACGTTGCCGAATCAAATGTCGCATTCCACTCCCTCTTCCTTGCAGATCGCTGGGGGGGTTTGCAGCGGGTTGCCCTCCAGAACCAACTCCTTCAGCCCTTTGAGCCCCTGGAAAGCGTTGGGCTCCAGGCTCTGGAGGTGGTTGACGCCCAGATCCAACTCCTTCAGCCCTTTGAGCCCCTGGAAAGCGCCCGGCTTCAGGCTGCGGAGGTGGTTGAAGCCCAGATCCAACTTCTTCAGCCCTCCCAGCCCCTGGAAAGCGCCGGGCTCCAGGCTCTGGAGTTGGTTGTCGGACAGATACAACCCCTTCAGCTCTTGGAGCCCCTGGAAAGCGCCGGGCTCCAGGCTCTGGAGTTGGTTGCCGTACAGATTCAACCACTTCAGCCCTCCGAGGCTTCCGAAGGCCTGATCTCGAAGAGTCCAGAGCCGGAAGCGGGTGAGCGCCAACTTCTCGAGAGCGCTGAGGCGCTCGAAGGACCGCAGAGCCTCGGGCTCCGGGAATTTGCGGTCCACCGGGCACAGAGCGCAGGAGATCGTGAGCACTCGCAGCTTCGGCGCGAGCTGCGCCAGCGCTCCCAGCTGCCCGAGCTGCGCCGCATCCTCCAGGGACACCAGCAGCTTCGTCAGGTTACCGAAGGCCGCCTGCGCACACACGCGACTGATCACAGCGCGCCTGTTTCTTGCTGCCGCACAGCGTTAACAACATGATGGTCATTCACGGATGGATGATGGCATGCAGCTTCGGAATCGGCGAAATACAGAAAGCCAGCTTCGCACGATGGTGCATGGCTAGTTCAGGGAGCCGGCTAGTTCAGGAATCCTTCGATGCAGGAGGAAACCTTCTGTACGAGGACCGTTACCTTCGAAGACTTGACATCTTTGTGCATCCTTTCCGACTGTTTTGATTCGAGAGCCCCAGAGTCAGTCGGCTGCATGCTGGACATGTGGGGTGAAGCGCACGCACGCTGTGCCTCAGAAGACATGCACTGTGTGGGACACCATACCATCCAAAGAGCAAAGAACAGAGACAGAGAGAGAGAGTAAAAAAAACAGATAACAAAAAAGATGTAAGGAGCTGCGCCTGCACCTGCGGTGTCACGGGTGGCATCGTGCCCAACGGGCTCTTCATCAGAGCTTCTGCCAGGAGCACGGGCATTTCCTCGTCCAGGACTGCCAGTGTGGCGAGAAGGTCACCTGACGGCTCCGGCAGTCGCCAGACCTCCCGCGCAGCGTCCTCGTCGAATCGCTCGGCATTCTGTTTGGTCAGGTTCCTTCGGATCTCCATCAACAAGCTCAGCGAGGTGCCATTGCTCGCTTGCCCCAGCAAGGTCTTTATGGAGAAGGCAAGGCTGTAGCCTTTCATGCTTACCTGGCTCTGCTTGTAGTGCCATTGTGTTCGAATAGTCTCGCTGCAGCTTGGAGCTGCTTGTCCCATGCACGAGAACAGCTTCACTGTGCCAGCCGGCAACAGAAGCGCCGGTGGGTGGACGTTTTGTCCTCTTCCGAGATCATAGGTTTTCTTGCCACCGAGGCTTTGCTCACGCACTTGCTCGCACAGCTGCGCATGGCAGCTGGCGAGCAGTTCACATAGCCCATCAGCGGACGCAAGGACGGCGCCTTCGGCTATGGTGCTCACGTTCAGGAGCGAACATCCGTGCAGCTGAGCTGCCCAGGCAGCCGGGCTGTCAACCGCCTCGTACTGCATGACCACGGTGTGCCGATGTGAGGACGAAAACCCCCACTCCCGCGCCTTCTGGCGGACCACCACTGTGAACTGGGGAGCGGCCTCCATCTGGCCCAGGATTGGGTTTATCTGCACGGCAAGTGGCTCATCTCCGAGGGCTGAGCTGTCGTTCGAGCCGTGGTAGGCACCACAGATGCTATAGCGCCACCTGATCAACCCGCTCTCCAAGCAGCGCCCGTGCCTTTGCAGGACCTGCAGGTCTGCCTTAGTGGCTGGAGACCACTCGGACCAGTTGGCTCGGAAGGCCTCAGCGGTCGCCCCTTTCTACTGGACGGCACGGCTCTCTCAGTCCCTCTCATTTTCCCTATCTCTCTCTCTCTCTCCCCCCTCCCTCCGTTAAATCCATGAATCCTAGAAGCCCTCTACTCCAAACCCTGCGCATACAAGCCGGAAGTAGCACGAGCCCAGGCGCGGGGTCCGGCAGCATCGGCATCACGAGCAAGCGAAGCGTGTCAAAGGCAAGCGGGTCGTACTTCGAGACGGAGATGACCACGTTTCCCTGCAAACCGGGTGTTTAGCAGGAAAGCTTAAACATCCCACAAAAAACCTCTGCCGCCGCCCTTCAACTTTCAGAGATCGTCAGGGAGCCCAACTCCCTGTTCGCGCCTGCACGTCCAGGGAGCTCTCGGTCTTCAGCACGAAGCTGCCGCTGGCGTTCTGTCCTACGAGCATGGCCATCGCATCGCTTGGAGGGGGCGTCCCCTGCCTGAAGGAGATGGGCGTGGCCTCGGCCTCGAACTTTTGGCCTCCCGTCTCCAGCTCCAATGCGAAGCTGAGGGTGGCGAGGCGGAAGGCCCAGTCTGGCTGCACTCTGCCGAAGGGGAGCTGGAGCTGGCCTGGCTTCATCTCCACTTCGTCGCTGCACTGTGTCGTCTTGCCTCGCTTGGCCTCCTCTGCCTCTCCAGCGACTCGCACCTCCTCCAGCCGACACCCGCTCAAGCGGCCCGTGAGATTCTGCTCTGCAGCTTTCAGTGAGGTTGAAAGATTCTGGGGGAGGTCGCCCGATTCCAAGCCTTTCCTGTCGGCAAGGACTGCGTAGCAGCCTCCTGGTCCGACGTAGGACTCGAGGCATGCCAGGTCGTGGCCACAGTCCGCAGAGCAGCTCTGCTCCGTCGCGTTCGGGCGGTCATTGTAAGTCGTCCAAAGCTGACCCAGAGCAGCGGGTCCGTGGCTGCGGGGCCTCGGCAGGCCCAGGAGGAAGTCGGCAAGCTGCACTTCGAAGCGAAAGTCTTGGAGACCTCAGGGAGCCAAGCAAAAGCGCCCCTGCCTTTAGAATACACTACACCTATCTACACCTCCAAGCTCTTCAGAAACCCATGACAAGCATGATCGCGCTGGCCTTCTGGGATGCTGAAGACCGATCCGGGCAAGGAAGACCAGGCGATGGTTCTCTGGAACTCCTGGGCGGTGATCCGGAGGGCTGCCGGCATCGTCGCCGATGGCGAGAAGCGCACTTCATACGTGGTTTCGGGCCGAGATGGACGGAGGCCCTGGACGCGGATGGTGGCCACGCGCGGGACTTGCCGGTGCGACAGCTGGATCTCTTCGACTGCCGCGCCCTGCTTGTCGTCAACCGCAATGACACGTGGGCTGGAGGGTGGCATGCTGGTGGCTTGCGGCTGGGTGATGGAGATGCGACGCGTGGTAGGGGGCTGAACCCAAGCCATCAGGGCCAGTTTCGTGAAGGACACGTCGCTTGCGACTTCGTAACGGGTCTGCCTTGGCAACCAAACAAGAAGCGACCTGTCTTTCCCATGCCCCCATGTGGGAAAAACGACTATTGCGAGCCAAGCTGCCACGGCAAGAACTCCAGGGAGTGCAAGGAGCTGGCCAGCTTCAGGTCCGCGAGCTCCCCGACCGAACAGGCGTAGGCCGTCATGTGCCCGGCGGAGACGCAGCACGAGAACGCCACCAGGGCCAAGAAGGCTGGCAACACGAGGAAGCCGGCTCGGGAGCGGCTCAAGAAACGGAGCAGGGGCCCCTGCCGAGCCACGGATGTCAAGCTCCATCTGCGGGACGATGCAGTCGAGGAAGGCAACGTGGATCCGGTGCCGGAGTCCGACTCCAAGAGCTTGCGAAGCTCCTGCGAGTCTCCGGTTCGTGCCGCACGTGACTGCGTTCATCCACGAGACACACATGTCGTCACCGTCGTCAGCATCATCACCTGCAGCAGCAGCAGCAGCACCATCCACAACATCATCGTCGTCTCCACCGAACACCACCTGACGACCTTGGATCGCTTGCTGTCGCTAGTACCTTTTGCGTGCGGTATTGTCGTTGGGGTTGCGGTGGCTGTTGTTGCTGCTGCTGCTGCTGCTGCTATTGCTGCTATTACTGCTATTGCTGCTGCTCCTGCGGCGGCTGTGGCTGTGGATGTTCCAGTTGTTCTGGTGTGCGGCGGCTGCTGTTGTTGGTGGTGGCGATGGCTGTGGGGGTGACGGTGGCGGTTGCTGTTGCTCCTGCTGTAGTTGGTGTCAATGCTGCCCGTATTGCAGCTACCACTGTCTTGCTTCTGTTGCTACTCTATGTGAACTGCTTCTGTTGTTACATGTGCTGAATGCTCGCTGTCTGACAAGCTCTGTCAGCAGAGTCCTCCTCGTCGCTGAGCGCGAGCAATTTTGCCCAGGGCAGCGGCTTCATGTTCAGCCTTTCCGTGCTCTTCACCAGGGATGCGGAGTTGATCTCCACGAGCTTTAAGCCTTGGTCCAGGTCCCGCGCAGTGCTAACGGCCTTGAGGACGGTCCACAATGCGCTGCCCAGAGCTGTCAAGGCGACCACCAGTGTCTGCAGGTCGATGCTGACGAGGTAGAGGATGAAGAGGAAGTACGCCAGGATTGCGACCACGAGCATTGCATCGAGGATAACGTCATCCGGCAAATCGGTGATGATCACATCCCACTTCAGGAACGCGTGCACCAACTGCTTCTTCGCGAGAAGCTGCGAAAGGCGCAGGGCAGCCGCAAGCGCCAGAGCCACGGGGCCGGCCGCGACGATCCACACGGGCGCCTGCCGCAGGGTTTCGTGGGAACTAAAAAGGGGAGCTCGGCGTAGCTTCCTGCAGCTCTCACTTTCTGACAGCACGAGCCTCCTCTTCGGAGGACTTCCGGACCACTGCCAAGGCGCCGGTTTGCAAGGCCATCAGGGAGAGGAGAAAGCCGGCTGCCCAGGAGAAGCTGCTGAGGAAGTTCTGCATCGGGCTCTTCACCTCCGCAAGACTCTGAAGGGGCGCCACGGGCTCCTGCAGCCTCTCGCTTGCCGCAGACATGCACAGCATCCAGACGGACACCCCAAGAATCAGCACGAGGCTTGCCAGCACCGTGCCTCAGCTTCAAGCCGAGGGCTGTGACGGGAAGCACGACACCGCAAGCGACCTATAACTAAAGAAAAGAAGCTATCCTCGCCCAGGTGCCAGCCAGGAGGTCCGGCACCCCCTCCGGGCAGTTCTCCATGGAAATCCTTTCGGGCAAGCGCTTGCAGTGCGGGAGCTCCGGACACTTCCACACGTCAGGACAACTGCTTGCAGCCGAGCCGCTGCAGCGCCTGCGCTTTCTTGGAGTGGGGAAGTGCCGCCAACATGCGACCCAGCACCTCGCGATTGGCACGAAGAGGGGTGGCGGGGGGTTGGAGACGGGCTTGCTCCTGAGCTGAATGTGTGCATACTGTATCACGGAAACACCGCCCTGCGTCAGCCACAAACCTCTCAGCCTCAATGTCCGGGCCTCTTTCAGCAATCCCCTCGCAACCCTAGAAACCCCATGAGCTGCTCGGGCAGAAGCGCAACAAGCC